AACAGCATCCCTCTTTCTTTCCACCATTCCAGCACCAATGTCTTCCATCAGTGTGTTCTTAGCCCATGAGGGCAACTTTCACCCAAAATTCCCCTGTCTGACTCTGCATATCTACTCAAAGTGTTTTCAGCATTGCCTTCACCACCTCCCGATCCTTTGGGGTGCATGCCTTTACCTTTGGGGATCTTCTTAATGCAGACATTGCCTATTCAGCAAGGTAATTATATGGAATCTAAAGCTTATATTACAACATGATGATTTCCTTTTACGTGTCATGGCAACGTACTCTGCACTCCAAGACAAAGTTGCCTTGGAGCTTATGCCTGGCCATGCAAATAGAGTCAAATAGAAGAAAGTTAGTTTGATGTGCCTCGGAGAACAGAGCTCTGACAACCAAAGTTAGAATATGTTTTAGTAAAAGTCACAACAACATCATGATTTTCTCTTTGTATAAATTCTTAATACATATAATCACAGCACCTGCAGGACTTCCGGAGAAATTGTAGTTGAGTCTCAAAATAATCCCTGTAAGACCTGTTCACACCGCATATCAGTCCATCGAGGAAGAATGAAATGATAAAACACAATGCAGTCAGCACAACTTTGCAACATGGATCAAGCCCTGTTACATGGCTGAAAACACATCTGGAGTAGCAATGCCACCTGCAACTCTGCCTTCTCTACACCCCTTATCTGCAACTTGTGACTAAGACCGTGCTGCCACACAGCACAGTTTTTTCTTGTTTGCTTGTTTGTTGCTTGCTCAGTTTTCTTGCTTGCCTGTTTGCTTGCAGGGTTAATCACGTGTCTGCTCTGGCCCACACGCACCACAGCAGGGCCGTCCTAGGGCTGCACAAGGCCAGACATGAGCTGGGTTGTATTTTTATTGGCAGTGTTGCCAGCCTCAGCAAGTTAGGTAGTCTCAGGGAAGGCAACAGTCAAAAAGCATCTGTTTTTGTCTCTGGAAAGAGCCCTTGAGTTTCCTTTGCAGCCACAGAGGTACCTACTGTTCTAACAGCCCTTGCCATAAAGGTTGGGAGCACAAAGGACAGTGGCGAAACTGCAGGAGTCCATCATTTCAGAGCAGAAGAATGAGTATTTAAAAGATAATTTCTGGTCACCAGACTCACCTAAATTCTTTTTCCAGCTGCTCCAGCCTTTCTGACACATCAGGTTTTAATGTCTCCCTCTCTGAAGTATTGCTTCCACAGATTGATATTTGCTGTGGGATATTAAATGTTTCTCTTCTGAAAAAAAAAAAAAAAAAAAAAAAAAAAAAAGGGAATTCTGAAAATGAAGAATAAAAAAGATGACATACTCTGAAGATTCACCTTCTAAAAGGCAGCCAGCCCCACGAGCAGATACTCCATGGCATCACCCATGCTGGTGAATGGATCAGAGCCAGGGTACAGGCTCCAGGGCACACGATGGTTCAGCACACCTCTGGATGCTGTTCAGTTTTGGCAGTTTCTAACTTTGTCTGTACTCTGTTTTGTAATAAAAATCCCAAACATCAGCTAACTGTAGTTAACAGTTTCAAGCTCAGGTGCTCCTGCAGCGCAGGTAGAGTACACAGCAAGCTCCCTCCCACAGCAAGGCAGCATCAGGGAGAGCCTATGCACCAGTTTTTGCAAATCCATGTCTGCATGACTGCTGCAAGGAGCTGTTGTGCCCCTCTCTCCCATGACTTTCCCATTCCTCTCTCGCTGAAATGGATTTCGGTTTACTGGCATGAGTTGGTTTTCAGCTAGACCACCTGATCTCCAGACTTTAACTGAGGACACCTGTTTTTCATTGAGTTCAAAAGTTCAGTATAAAATCTGCATTTCAATCAATCTTTCCCCTCACAACAAAGGACAGGGAGCATGGACACAGTCTGCACGGACAGGATGCTCCTGAGATCTTAGTTCTGTTAGGCTGCTCATAAGATTCTTTCCAATTTCTTTTTCTCTCACATCCGTATAATGTCTGCCTTAGCCTTTGGAGCTGAATGCTATTGCAGGACTAACTGGCCCTGTGATTGCACAGGGAAGTTCCACCCGATATGAAGTAGAAAATCAAGCTTTTACTGAAATATTTCATGGCCAGGAAGTGTTTGCAGATCTTTTTTTTGCAAGCCCCCAGGTCTCTTAGAGTTAAACATGGTAAGTGTACCCAGGGACAACCCCAGTGCAACATACCTGACGTCTTCTGAAGTCGCCACTCTAGCATCAGCATCTGTCCACTCTCCTTCAGGCATCTCATGTTGGCTGTAGCTGTTACACGTAAATCCATCCATGTACTTACAGCAGGAGGAAATGTTTGTCCGAATGAGCAGCAGCACAAGGGACTGTGCTGCTGTGTGCACAGGAAGCTACTGCAAGAATCAGGCACTTGGTTTCGCAGTGAGCTTCAGCTCCTCCTTTTTACGGGAAATAGCAGTTGTTCTTGTAATTGCAGTCACTCTTATCTCTCCCCAGGCAATCAGGACAGGGGTGGACTGGCTTCTTGCTGCTGCCAGAGCAGTATCACTTTCATTCCAGTTGTATTCCTCTGTAACTCTAGATCTGTGCTCCTCTGTGCTGCTGTCAGCTATGGCCAGCAGTTCACTCTTTGTTGTTTCTATAGATTTTGGCACGTCCTACAGTGGGTACTGTTTTTCCCTTGCTTCAGGCACAGACCAAATCCGCCAGGTGTTCTGGGGAACGGAGCATGGGCACAGTTCCTTGAAGACGCCCACCTGCATCCTGTTCAACGAGAATCAGGAGTTCGCAAAATTTGGCTATGATGCTGTGATGAAGTACAAGAGCTTGCCAGCCAGCGAAGCTCACAAGTGGTACTTCTTCCGGAACTTCAAGATGAGCCTGTACAACAGGGTATGTAGAGCGCTCACAGGAGTCAAGGCTGTTTGTTTATTGGAGGGACGTGGGCTAAAGGAAGTGGTGAAGGGAGCTGAGCAATCTGTCTGGTGAGGATCAGAGAAGTCAAAGAGCACTTTGTCAAATGAAAGAAGAAATGAGATACATTCTTCACAAGCTAAAGGCATTATGGGCTCCTCATTTGTGTGATATTCATTGTCTTCTGCAGGGAACAATAGAAGTGTCCTACGATTTGAAGTTTGGCAGCTCCTGGGTCGTAGACAGGGCTCCTTCCATGTTACGCACTTCTGCTGGCCTCTCTCCCTCCCTTGAAGGGATATGCTGAAGCCAATTTATGGGTGTCCAGCTGTCATTTCTCTCAGAAGGCTCTGTGCTTGCTCAGAATTGTTCACAGCATTTCTGGGTTGATTTGTTCAGCCAAACATAGAATCACAGAATGGTTTGGGTTGGAAGGGAGCTTTAAGACCGTCCAGTTCCAACCCCCCTGCTATAGGCAGGGACACCTCCCTTTAGACCAGGCTGTTCAAAGTCCCATCCAGCCTGGCCTTAAATGTTTCCAGGGAGGGGGGCATCCACAACCTCGCTGGGCAACCTGTGCCTGTGTCTCATCACCTTCACAATAATATAATGCTACTCTAGAGCTTCCTTGTCCGTGCTCCAGGGCCCCACAGGTCTTTCACCTCTTCCTGCTTTTTGCCTATTGAAGTTTTTGCTTTCTAAGGGCCACTGCCTACCTTTACTGGTTCTTTTTGGATCTGTGTTTTTTATTTTACTGTGGATATCCTCTACACTGGTGTTTCTCCACTGTGAGAGTTTGCAGAAGGTCTTTCTGTGTGTGCTTGTTAGCGTGGAATAACCCCGAGCACAGGGTGAGCCCCAGATAGAAGTCTCATCTGCTCTCTGAATTTCCCAGTGCTAAGCAATGAGCTCTGATTGGATTTGGAAGGAGATGGGAGGCATCTGTGAAGACTTCCCCCTGCAGGAAAGGTGTGAATGATGTGGTCTGCTGCGGTGTTGTTACCTGTGGAGTGATGGGCTCCTAGCCACGTTTAGGGCAGAAGGGCTTCAGAGAGATTTTAGTTCACCCCTACCCCCACCCCCAGTCCCCCTCCCCCCCAGAAATGAGCAACCCAACAACAAGAAAGGGAAACAACACTTCCCAGACACCTAACCCAGTTAGCTATTTCTGAATCTCCACAAAAAGCGTCCATGGAGGACATATCCTATTCTGTTAACCAAGTCAGGAACAGTGACAGGAAATGAGTTTACAAGCAAAAATAAACAGAGATTCCCTTTCTCCGCAGCGGCTGCACCTCCGGAACAGATTCCACCTCACAGTTCTTTCTTATTTTAGCTGGGCAGCCTCCTCACCTGCCTACGTGTGGCTGTAGAAGATCCCAGGTTGATGGATTTGGTGGTCTCGTTTATGATCCTTGTGCTGTAGGGCCAACTTTGATCACTGCCAAAGCGGAACAGAGAAACACATGTGGTGAAAGCTGGCTCCCAAAATGTCTTTGGATGCAGGCAAATATTTCCACTTCTTCTAGACAGAACCTGCAACCAGGAACTGATGGAGGGAGTTTAGAGCAGCCATCTGCCTCAGGATTCGGGTACACCCATGCAGACACACAGGGCCAAAAACCAAGCTATTATATTGTAGAGAAACTGAATCAGAACAGATGGATATTTGTATGCACATTTTTCCTGTGTACACTTTTTTAACTGCACATACAGAAAGACATGAGCAATCTGAAGGCTCTATGCACATGCTTGGGAAATGTGGTATCGTGTCACACAGAAAGAATAATTCTCCCCACCACTGTTCAGGTTGGCCTACAGGGTCTTTATACAACCTGGTATTTTGCCTATTGAAATGTTACACAGTTTGATGGCAGACCTGTGTCAGTTAGATTTCTGTTAGCCACATACTGAAGTAATTCTGGGGAATTTACTGAGGTATGGAGACAGGACGTTGTTCTGTAACACACTTTGTGCATTGTTCATGTACAGGGGACAGGACAGTTCTGGAGGCTGCCATATACAAACCCAGAGACATTTTAACTGTTTTCTCTCAATTGTAGAAAGTCACTTCTGACATGAGGCTGGAAGCAAGCAATGGAAAGACCCTTCCTGCCCTGTTGGTCTTCGCTGAAAGCCTGCGCTACATGGAGCAACATGCCCTGAACACTATCCAGGAAGCCTCTTCCAATACCGTTTGTGACCTTGAGGAAATCACTTGGGTTATTACTGTCCCAGCCATATGGAGCACAGCTGCCAGGCAGTTCATGCGGCTGGCAGCAAAAGAGGTAAAAGCAGTAGTTAACCCACTTCTCACGTTCTCTTCTGAGATTTCTTTAGTCATTAAGGAAGAGGAATTTCTCATTACTTAGACTGTCTGTATTTTGAGTTTTTGTGTATCAGAAAGGTAACTCTCCCATGATATGTATGTAGGAAAATGTCCCAAGCTGGCAGTAACAACAGCTTTGCCCTTTCCCCTGTGGCTGTGCAGAACTGAGCCCACAGAAATCAGAAGTGCAAGAACCATTACCTCAGGGTGGGTGAGCGCAGTTTCACTAGCAGATGGTGTCCGTGCAGCAGTGATCTTGCCACCTTTCCTGAATTGATACTTCTCTTGTGATTTCAGGCAGGACTTATCTCTGACATGATTTCTGAGAAGCTGATTATTGCCCTGGAATCAGAGGCTGCATCACTCTGGTGTAAACAGCTTCCACAGGAAGGGTTTCTTGCAGAGGGCAGTGACAAGAGAAAGTTTGAAGACTCCCCTGGGATCCAGTATGTTGTCGCTGACTGTGGAGGTAATAATGTTCTCCCTTCTCAATGAGTACAAATTTGCTGGGTGCAGAGCATGGATGCTTTGCAGTGCTGAACGCAGGGGGACTGCAGTGCAGTCCCAGAGTGTGGGCTCCACTTCCATGCTTGTCACGGGAATTTTTATTTTTATTTCTCACTTAATGAAGTCTTGTGGAGGAGCAGAAAAACGGGAGGAGAGGATGGGTCTTCTAAAGGCTGGATCTTCTGTAATTTAGAGAGAAGATCTGACTTCATTCACGTGTGTGCATGCGTTTGTGTAGGTGGCACAGTGGACATCACAGTACACGAGATCCAAGAAAACCATTGCCTGAAAGAGTTACACAAGGCGTCTGGAGGTGGATGGGGAGGCAACAGAGTGGATGAAAACTTCAGTATGTTTCTCAGGGAGGTGTTTGATGACGGCGTATGGGATGAATACGTGAAGAGCTACCCTATCGAATGGCAACGGATGATGTACGACTTCAGCTTCCAGAAATGCTCTGCTGAGGGGGAGGCAGTCTACTTGCATTGCTATTACAATTTGACCAAACTTGCAGAAAGAAAGAAGGGCATCTCCCGCTTCTTTGAAAAAACAACAGGGGCTGTGTGGTGTGATGGGATGATCATGATTACATACGAGAAAATGAAAAGCTTTTTTGAATATAGCATCCAAAAAATTATTGCTGCTTTGAGAGAAATCCTTGCCAAGCCTGAGATGGCCAAGGTCCAGTACATTTTGCTTGTGGGAGGCTTCGCATCCAGCGTCATGCTGAGACATGAGGTCAGGCAGGCTTTTAGTAAGAAATATCATATATTTTGTCCACTAGAGGCCCAGATTGCCATTGCAAAAGGGGCTGTTTTATTTGGAATCAATCCAAAAATTATTACTTCAAGAATCAGTGCTCGGACATATGGCCTATCTGTAAGTAGGGACTTTGATGCAGCTATCCATGACATCCGTAAACGAAGAGTCTCAAAAGCTGATGGCCGTGTCTATTGCAAAAATCTCTTCTGGAAATTGGTGGGAACTGGGGAGTCAGTGAGTATAAATGAAGCTGCCCAATATATTTTCACACCAATAGAACCAGATCAGACAAGCGTATTGTTTGCTTTTTATTCCACAGAAAAGCAGGATGCACAGTACGTAGATGAGGAAGGGCTGGAACTGCTTGGTTCATGCACAGTACCAATGCCAGACACAAAGTTAGGGAGGAAACGCAAACTGGTTCTGCATATTCAGTTTGGGCTTACTGAATTTAAAGCCACTGCTACTGACGTTACTTCCAAACAAAGTCGGACAATTACAATAGACTTTTTATCAGTGTAAATACTTGAGTCTTAGAGCAGCACGGCTTAAGTGGGAGGTGCCAGCTGCCACAATGGAAAGGCAAATGGACCATGAAGTCCATCATCTGTCCTCCTTCTCACACAAGTAAAACAGTTTGCAATTCTGATTCCTTGATTCCTTGCATTTTGCTGTACTACCAGTAGAATCACCTGCACCTTGTCAGTATGTGATACAATGCTTCTCGACTGGTGCCTAACTCCCACAAGTACCAGCCCATATCTGTTTCTTTTAGCCTTCAGCCACATTGTATAATTATCATCATAGAACCACCATAGAATGTCTTGAGTTGGAAGGGACTCCAAGGGTCATCAAGTTCCAAGCCTCCTGCCATAGGCAGGGCCACCAACCTCCAGATCTGGCACTAGATCAGGTTGCCCAGGGCCCCATCCAACCTGCCCTTGAACACCTTCAGGGACAGAACTTCTCTGGGCAGCCTGTTCCAGCAGCTCATCATGCTGTCTGTAAAGAACTTCCCCCTGACATCCAATCTAAATCTTTTTATGATTTTTATGATTTTTGGTTATGATTTTATGATTTTTGGTTATCAGTATTCCACATCATAACATCATGTAGTGTACTGGGAGTTATAAAGAGTTAATGCTCCGATTCCGTGTACCTGTCCCAGAAGAGAAGAGCTACATCCAACAGAGGATGGTTCACTGTTCTGTTACTGTTTCTGCTCATAGGGAGAGATAAAAACCATTCAGATCATTTGACCGTCCCTTATTCTCTTCTGCTCGGCCCGACTAGACATCTCACTTCAGCATTAGAGCAAGGCCTTTGGATTTCAGACACTTTAATTTAATTGCTTTATTAGCTTTGATTCTAATCTGTCATATTATAGTGTGTCATCTACATTCTGATATCTTAGTAAATTTGTTTATTTTCAAATCACTGCCTCTGTTTTGTTTTTAGGCCCATCTCCCTACCCTTTTCCCCCTTTCTCCCTTTTTCCCTTTCCTGGGCCTTGGTCTATGGGTCCCCCCACCCCACTAGTCACGGAACCGGGCCGAACCAGCCCAAAAACCATTGACAAGAGGGTGCTTGGCTCCAGTGAAGCCCTTGGAAGCAAGTAATACCTGAGTTTCTCGAGGAGCAGATGTGGTGGCCCAGCACGCAGTAGCAGGGCATGCTGACATAGATGGGGTGACGAGGTGGAGCTGGAGCAACCCGTGCTTTCTGCCCCACCGCCACACAGCTGTGAATTTGTAAGGACCTCACTGCATTGCTCTCACCTCCACCAGGAAAGAGAAAAGGAAAAGCACAGGGTGTGAGATGAAAGAGTCCAGAAATAGGCTACCTACGCTATCTTGTCCCTGCGCTAAGCGCCTCTACATTCACTCAGCGTTTCAAATTCCTCCCTCAGCAGAGCTGCGATGGGGCAGTGAGGCACTGGAGCAGGTTGCACAGACAGGTGGGGGATGCCCTGTCCCTGGAGGTCAGGCTAGAGGAGCTCTGAGCACCCTATCAATCTGTGGGTGTCCCTGCTCATTGCAGGGGAGTTGCACCAGATGGCTTTTGTAGGCTCCTTCCAACTCAATGATTCTTTGATAGTTCTATTACATGCCTTCATAGGTCTCTGTAAGGTAGCAGCCATCCCTTTCCATCCGCCCCAGGCACCGGGCTGGCCTTGCTCACTATGCCCACTCTTTCCCTCCCCCACACCATCCCAAACAATGAGGCTTTGTCTCCACACGCATCCAGCAGCGGTGGTTCCTTAGGCCCCTAAGCCCTATTTTGTGTGCGTGCTCTGAGCTTAACCAGCACATTCCTGCCAGAGGTTAAGCCTGGGCACCATGTGGATAATCCGAGGTTTTTTGGCCTCCTTCTCCCAGTGACAGTCATGATAATGAGCCCATGTGTGTCAGCCGTTCTCCTGCCCCTCACCTCTTCCTCTCTTTCAAGCCTGTAGGCCTCAGGGACAGAACAGGATCATAGCTACAAAGCAGGAGAATTAGGGTGGAAAGGTCCTGCTGCAGGCCCAGCATCCTGTACTGGTTCATCTGCTGCCTTAGAATGCCACAGCCCTTCAAGGTACCACAGCCTGGCTGTCCATGGGTGCTTTGTCATCACCATCAAAGTATATCATTCAGCCTTAATGGTGTCTGCCATCTGCCTGGTCCCAAGACCAAAGTGTGAACCACAGCAGAGCAGAGGGCTGTGAGGAAGAAGTGGCCATGACACGAGAGTAGGACTGGAGTGAGTTGCCAGAGCTGGAAAGGGCATCTTCAGAGAGCAGGAGCCAGAAGGGCTGGAAGCTGGGACGGCAGGGCACCAGGGTGCCCTGAGCACAGCAACATTCTCGAGGACAAAGCAGGAAAATCGAAGAAAGAGGCCAAGCACTGGATTAAGTAGGGGGTAGGAAGGGAGAAGAGTCAATCTTTTTCTTCCCCACTGAAAATCCCCTATTTTCCCTTCTCTCCTGGACATGAAGATCTTTGCTCCGGCCTCAGACTCCAGGCAGGAGTGCTATGCCTCCCTCCTCATGTGGTTAATTTCTTTCCTGATTAAAGGCGATTAGGCAGCCCTAAAGCCGACAGAAATGTGACCGATGGGAACAGAGACAAACAGTCCATTCATGATCTCTTAAATCCCCCAGGCAGTATTTAGAGAGCCCTGAAGAGAGACCTGGGTCAGAACCATCCCATCACTGCCTCCGTGTTCTCCTCCCTTCCTCCACTATGTCCTTCTCTGAAGCGGAGGTGCAGAGCGCCCGTGGGGCCTGGGAAAAGATCTATGTGGATGCTGAAGACAACGGGACAGCAGTGCTGATCAGGTAAGGAAAGAGCCCATCTAACCGCTAGCGCAGGGGCTAGCAAGAAGGATGGAGCTGCCACCTTGAAGCACATCTCAATGTGTTTGACACAGCCTCACAGGGAACATTTTGGTTTGCTGTGGATTGTGCAACTTCAAGGAGGAAACGGTGCAGAGGAGTGATCCATACAAAGAGAAGTAAGAGGGAGGGAGAAGGGGTCTGGTAAAGGAAGGAGAGACTGGAACAGTTTCTTCACTCCTCCTTCCCAACCCCCAATAAAGAGTGATGTATTTATGATAAATAAAATAATGCATGGTATAAAATAGAACAGGAAATAACGCGGACCCTATTTTCCTATTTTCCTTTTTCTCTGAATGACTTTAATGATTATTTTTTTCAGTTCTATATTCTCAATAGTTCTCTTTTGATTCTTTTTCAGCCTTTCTAGTCAGAGCTCACCTGTTTCATTGTACTGTACTCTCCTGTGGTCTTTCTTCCTTTAGTCTTCACCTTGTTTTCTTCTCCTCTTCCATAATAAACACATTTCTCCTATTCACCTTTCACATACCCCTCACTCAACAGGGGCTCAGATTACCTCCATACACACTGGTCACGCCAAATAACCCTATTAGCACACTTCTACCATTGCCTTGTATGCCACATCTTGTACCCAGCTAAGCCTCAACAGATGTGCTCAACACTGCTCCTTCCCACTGTGGTCAACGCAACCTGAGGACAGTTAGCCTCAGAAATGCAACTAGAAATGTTGGTGGCATCCAGTCATTTGGCAGCCCAGGGTCATTTGCTGTAGAAGGTTTTGCTCTAGTTTCCCTATAGGCCCAGCTCTGCCTCTACAGGATTTCTGGGCACTCCAGTACAGGAGAGAGATGGAGCTACTGGAGAGAATCTAGCAAAGGACCATGAGGATGATGAAGGGGCTGAAGCATTGCTTCTGCAAGGACAGGCTGAAAGAGCTGGGGCTGTTCAGCCTGGAGAGGGCTCAGGGGACACCTTATCAGTGTGTACAAGTACCTGAAGGGAGAGTGGTGCCTGGTGCCAGGACAAGAGGTAGTGGACACAGATGGGAGCACAGACGTTCCTTCTGACCATCAGGCACTTCTGTGTCGTGCTGGTGATGGGAGCACTGGCGTGGGCTGCTCAGAATTTGTAGGGTTTCCTCCTTGGAGATCTCCAAGAGCCTCTTGGACACGGCCCTGGGCACTCTGCTCTGGGCGCCCTGATGAGCAGCAGTTGGAGCAGATGGACCCAGGGATGCACAATCACCTCAATCATCCTTTGATTCCATGAAATGCAATAGGGAATTTACTATTGCTGTTTCAGGTGGATACTTAGATTACTCAACAAAGTAAACTGATTTCTTAATGGTTTGATCAAGATAACTCTAGTTGCCATACTGTAAAAAAAAAGTCAATTCCTTTATGAGTGGCACTGAACTATGTTGCCTTAGAATAAACAAAATAAGCATTGCAGAGAACTCAAACAATAATCTACTACTGGCAGAAAAATTCTCAGGGACAGATTCCAGGAAGTGATTAACTAAGAAAAGTGATAGTTGGGTTTCTCCCTGAAAATAGATACTGAGACAAAAGTGGAACTATCTGCTGTCCAGAACATCCTTATGACTGTGCACTGTTGTATTTACCCTGCCCAAATGTGCTCCCATGTCCCTGTAGGTTGTACCGCCACCTGACTCTGAGATGTTCACTTCCAAAACAGCAGAATAAATGCAGGGCAGGGGAGGCTGACTTCCTTGAGCAGATAGCACAGCTTCAGCTGCTTTCTCAAGCAGATAACACAGTTCCCATGTTCCTCCTGGTATTAGGTTGTGAAGTATCAGTTACACATCCTTATGAAAAAATGAAACTGACAGGAGCCAAAATAAAGTTGGCCAAGTTGCTGTGAGTAAACCTCTCAGCAGATCAGAGACTAGCAGCAGGGCCAGTAGGTTTTAAAATGGGGAGAGGAGGAAGGTACCCTGGGGAGACACAAGGAGGGAGTCAGGCTGCTGTGAGTACAGGAATCACGCATGGATGGGAAGGGAACAGAAATGCATGGGAAAGACAGGGCTGTTCTAAAAAAAAAAAAAAAAAAAAAAAAGGAAAAGGCCAGTAAATACATAAGACAAGGCCTGGAATGTGAATTCACATCTGCATTGATGCCTCAGTCTGAAAGTTAGGCCAAATGTCTTTTCTCAACAGGATGTTTACCGAGCACCCGGACACCAAGTCCTATTTCACACACTTCAAAGGCATGGACAGCGCCGAAGAGATGAAACAGTCGGATCAGGTCAGAGGCCATGGCAAGAGGGTTTTCAGTGCCATCAATGACCTGGTGCAACATCTGGACAACACTGAGGCTTTTCTTGGGGTACTGAACCCGCTCGGCCAGAAACATGCCACCCAGCTCAAGATTGACCCCAAAAATTTCAGGGTGAGCTATGAGTCATCTTCTCAGGGAATGGAGTTGTGATGGGATGGTGTCTTTCCTTTGGAGGGGAAGAAGTGGGGAAAACAGGCTTTGTATGTGTAAGTGTATATACAGTTCAGAGCATCGGTGGAGGAAGATGGTGGAAGATTGCAGGCATGTATCTGTGGGTAAGAAGGCCATGCAGCAGGTGCTGTGCAGGCAGGTCAGCTCTGCTGGGAGCTACAGAGCTGCCCATGAGTTGTAGCAGGTTTACTCAGCACAACAGGATTCCCACACACTTGTCATTTAATAACAAGACATAAAAAAGCAGCTTACACTGAAATTCAGTCCATAGTGTCTGTTTTTCTCTAGTAACAGGAACTGAGCTTTCCCAGGCCAACTAAGACAGCAGTTACTGTTTTAAGCTCAAGGTTTAGATTAGATGTCAGAGGGAAGTACTTCACAGAGACAGTAGTGAGGTGCTGGCACAGGCTGCCTAGAGAGGCTGTAGATGCTCTGTCCCTGGAGGTGCTCAAGACCAGGTTGGATGGGGCCCCGGGCAGCCTGGTTTTAGTACCAGATCTAGAGGTTGGTGGCCCTGCCTGTGGCAAGGGGCTTAGAACTTCTTGATCTTTGAAGTTGCTTCCAACCCAAGCCATTCTATGATTTTATGACTGCTGATCAACAACGACAAGGGCACTGCCATCACTGAAGCAACACGAATTATACATACAGGACCAAATGGTTCACCCAAGTCCACCTGACGTCACTACCAGAGTCCATAGGTCTCTGTGTTATCTGCCCTACAATGCAGAAAGTGCAGAAAGAGGCACCTTCCATCAGAGGTCACTCAGGCACAAAGAGGGTGGTTTCCAAAGTAGCAGATCCAACTTCTATTGAATGAGAGACTAAATGAGGATTTCTGCCTAGAAAGAACCCTTACTGAGAATAAAGATGTATACAAAACAAGAAATGCAACACAGAAAAGAAATTACCGCTTCACATGATACCACCTGTCCGGAAACTATCAAGACACGTAATGCTCCTTGTTGCAGAGCACCAGGCAGTGGATGAGCAGGATAGATGATCCCACAAGTCACCTATTACATAGGTATTCAGCGCGGTGCTCCTCAACACTTGGGCAGCTCTACCACCCGTGTTGGAGGGACTGAGTGAACCAGTCTTGTAAAGCAGTCTTTAAGTGGCTGTGTGTATGGGTGCAGCCAAAATTACACAGAAACAGGGTACATAAAAAACACAGAAGTGACTGCAATTTGGGATGGCTTCTATAATGCACCTAATTTTCCATACCTAATTTTCTAATTCTGCCTGCTATACACTCCTGAATTTTGTTCTCCTTCTCTGTTCTCTAAAAATCTCAAAATATGTATTTCCCTCTAATATGGAGGAAAGTTCATACCGTTTCTTCCCTTCTCCCTGTTTAGATCATCTGCGACATTATCTTGCAACTGATGGAGGAGAAATTTGGTGGAGACTGCAAAGCCTCCTTTGAGAAGGTGACCAACGAGATCTGCACTCACCTGAACAACATCTACAAAGAAGCGGGTTGGTGAGGGCAGGTGACCTTCAGGCTCTTCAGACTTCTCACCAGCACTGATTTGCTGCTTTTGGGCCTCCAGCCACAGTTGGAGAATGAAAAAGTAAAAAAATAATTAAAAAAAAGGCTTATGTAACATAGATGTTAATGTCAATAATTTCCTTAGAAGATTGAGTTTCCATGGTTAAATGAAAACCACAGATGCAAAGCCAGCATCCTGATGAGCTTCGCAGCTGCACTGCTCCAGGTGGGTTCTCTGGGGATGGGCTCTGAAAACCACATTTGAAGACCAAGATATAAAGCTTGCTGTTTCTGGAAGACTTGCTCCTTTCAGCAGCCTCAGCCCAGAGAGGAACCAGCAGCCTCTACCTTGCCATCCTCATCAATTTTGAGAGGGAAACTGCTTTCGAGCATCTCCTGGGTCATGGACTTTGCAGAGGTCATTATTTAAGAGACAAAGGAGTTGGTTTGGTTTTGAACTACTGTGGTGGGAGAAGTGGGGGATGCTCTGAGCATGGGGAAGAGTAATATCTGAAGAAGACACAGGGAAAGCCCCATCCTGGACAAGGCAACAGTCCCCCAGCACAGGGAGAGGTGCCTTGGAGGAGCTTCCAGCACAGAGGATTCTGATACTGAACGTGGTCACCACTGGATCCCCCTGGGCAGGGGTGAATGTCTCCAGCACCTGGATTTTGCACTGCAACTCCCAGATTGCTCTGGCCATGCACCCAGGGGAGGGCAAACAGCACTAAGCTCCTGCACAGCTTCTCCTGACACTCCAGCACTGACCAAGTCCGGAAGTGTTTAATTGCTTTTCCTTAGACGTGGTGAAATCATCAGCTGATAACTGCAAATAACCACAGGCCATTCTGCTTCACTGTAACGCAATAAACAAAAGGAAAGCTGGTGCGTTCTCTCATTCAGGCCCTGCCGGAGTGGCAGCTGGTACAGTGAGGGGCTGCTGGTGGTACAGGGCAGGGGCGGGGGGGTAAGGGAGTTACCAAGGAATAAAACATCTGTAGAAGGGAAATTCAATCTTGTAGAGCCAAGAAAACACTTTCTGATTCCAGTTATTACCTCAGCAATGTAGAAAGAACACATGTGTTACAGTTCAGTTTTGCTGACCTTTAAGATCACCCAGTTCCAATCCCTTGCTATAGGCAGGGACACCTCCCTCTAGACCAGGTTGCTCAAATCCCCATCCAGCTTGGCCCTGACCTTCCACTGCTTCCCTTAAGGCCTGCGGCAGGGGCAGCTTTGGTGAAACTCAGGGAATAGAAAGAAACACAGGCAAATCAATACAGGCGACATCCTGCCTTAGAAGAGGGGGATGTCAGAGATTTTCTCCTTAATGTTTCTAAAGTTAATACTGAGATAATTTGCTGTCAGATACTACTGATGCTTGGGTAACCTGATCTGCCACACCAGAGCACTTCCAGCCTGTGCAGCAGAGTGGATTTGAGCCTGTCCATGGCACAGTTACAGCAGTCAGACTGCACACGGTCAGCACCTAACAAGCAATGGTTGGATAGCAGTGAGCCTAGCAGCACTCTATACTGAACCACTCGATTCCTCAACAAACAGCAGAAATAGGAACATTCTGTGCTTGCCATCCCCATGTCAGTCTCCCTGCTGATGCCTCTCCCAGTACAACTGGGGAAGGCACTGGGGAACACTGTCACCTCAGCAACATGAGGCAGAGAGTCCACAGAGACAAAGCCACAGGAGAACTTCCTAACTGCCCACTGATGTTCCCTGTCTGCCTACACAGGAGAAAGAGGAGAGCAAGGGAGGGATGGGGAATGCCCACATTCCCCTCTTCCCCTGTATTTCCAGCTCCCACACAATAGTTTCCTGCTTTTGTGGGCTGGAGTGCAAAAATGAATCAAGAAGTAGGGAAAAAAAAGGATCAAAACCAAAAATAAAGAACCATACAAAACCAATGGAAAGTCCGACAAATGCTTTTTATAAGCTACTGCTTCCAGAGCAGCTCTAACCTGTCCTGCTTGCAGAACTAAGAACAGCCTGTAAATGAAGGTGTCCTGTGAAACATGGGGTGGAGCAGTGGGACAGACAGGCTGCACTGCCCCACCTGGGGCTGCACACTGCCATCACCTCTGGCCCAAGGCTCGTTCTGCACTTACATTTGCTTTATGCTCACTGCAACTTCATCCACTACAGAACCCTCCCAGTCATGCAGTAATACACACGGTGCCATTTCCTGCCCTGCGGAAGCACCTTGCTGCAATACTGAAAGCTTGCCATATCCCTGGGGCAGAACTGGTACAAAACAGATGGGACCCAGGATATATTTAAAGACAAGAAGCCCCCCCCCCTCCCTTTTTATCTAAAGTACACCACTACTGCTGTCAAAACTCTCAATTACATGATGTAGCAGTTCCCTTCCATAATCATTTTGATCTTCCAGACTACGGTAAGTCAACACCATCCCTCAAATGTCCAGCAGAATAGAGAAATAATGAAAAGCTCAGGGCTTCTCCCTCCTGAATACAAAGGGATCTCAGTTCTCACAGAAGGGTTTAAAACCATCATCTGCACAGACACAGTTAACAAAGCAGTCTCACTGACAGATGTTCCACTGCATCAGAACAGGGAACCATCAGTCACCTTAACTCAGTTCTATTCCAAACCACACTTCAGTCCTCACTTCCAAGAGAAAGCACGTTTCCACGCGCCAATCAGAACAAGTGGTGATTTACCTTTGATCTGCCTAATGTTTGTGTGGCACTTGGATATCGTGAAGCTTCCCACCCCAGGAGATCCTATAAATAATGGAAGGCTCAGCTCTAAACACTCTTCTTTAATTAAAAAAAAAAATTAACAACAACAACAAAAAGCATTTGTAAAACTGATGGCATATGATCCAGAACTTGGTAGAGAGGAGTGGTATTTTGAATAGCAGTATGATTTTTTTCTTTCTTGTCTAAGCACAGCATCTCTGGCCTGCATGGGGAGACAGGTCCTCAGTATTTCTGGAATGTTGTTATTGCAGGAGTTGGCAATCCACTCATCTGCAATTCTGCTATACAAGATGCATTTAGAAATGACTTCACCTTTGTCACACTAGCAGTGAGAACTCCATTATAATGGTGTGATAACAGATTTTAGCAAGCGTTCATCAGAGGGATGAACACTGGTAACTCACATTTACCATGCAGCTGGGCAACACCAGATGCCACAAAACATTCCTAGGAAGGAAACTCACACTTAGATTTCAAGTGAGTGTAAAGACGTGGTAAGTAGGTAGCCATTGTTATTACACTGCTTCCACAGGAGCTTAAAAAGACACAAATATGCAGTGGTTGAGTATGAACCATGTTGGACACAAGTCCTCGCAGAGATGTAAAGGCCCTGCTCTAGCTTGATGCCACCAAAATGCTGCACAGTCATCTACTGCTTGACAATTATCACCTATGTGTTCTGATCACAGTGAAAAAGATACTGAGGAGGAAATGCACACAGTGAATTTATAGCTGCATTATACAGCTATGATTAGCTGGCCTCCAGAGGCCCTTTGATTAGGGCATATATCGTTAGAACCAGATAAAAATGCCAATATATCATAACAAACATTTCTGCTGTTATGTACCTCAGTGGTGCCACCTCAAGGAGGATATACTAAATTCTAATTTCTTTCTTCTGAGTGAAGGTAGAAGCTACCTGAGTAACTGATTTGATTCACAGCCAAGTCCTTGAGGTAAAGAGAGTTTGTACCTGAATCACAGAATCATAGAATCAGCCAAGGTTGGAAAAGACCTTCAAGATCATCTAGTTCTACCATCCACCCATCACTAATATTTCCCCACTAACCCACATCCCTCAGTACAACACTGAAATGTTCCTTGAACACCAACAGGGATGGTGACCCCACCACCTCCCTGGGCAGCCCATTCCAGTGCCTGACCATTCTTTCAGAGACATTTTTCCTAACACCCAACTTGAATCTTCTCTGCTGCCAACCTGAGGCCACCCCCTCTGGTCCTACTCCTAGTCATGTGGGAGAAAAGGCCAACCCACCTCACCACAACCTCCTTTCAGGTCACTGTAGAGAACTGTAAGGCTTCCTCTGAGCCTCCTCTTCTCCAGACTAAACAATCCCAGTTCCCTCAGCTGTTCCTCTAAGACTTGTGCCCCAGACTCAATAAATGCTGCTTTTTGAAAATGAAGTCATCAAGCAGTTAGTGGCTATGCCACGATCAATTTAATTCCATGGTTTTACCTCTAATGATCTTAGAATAGTCAGGATCCTACAAAGAAAGACTGCTTCTGCCAGAGCATGAATCACCTTAAGAGACCAATATATTCTCGTTAAGTTATTGGACAGTGTGATTTCCTTTTTATTTTTTTTATTTTTGTTCTTAAGGTTTTGTTTGTTGCGCTGCTTGTAGCTGTTTTTTGTTTGTTTCAATACAATTAAAGATGTGCCATTTACACCCCACAAGAAAAAGCAGAAAGAGTCCTTATGGAAAAAAACAAATATATTGAACACATACCAATCAAATGGTACAGATACGGGACTGGCTTTGATTTCAAAATTTAAGTAGAAATAAAAAAAGATGTAATGCAACAGCTGTTCAATTTCCAAGTCTAAATAGGCACTGTAAAAAGACATTTCAGCTTTCTCCAGCACACATTCCTGTCTAAACGCTCCCACTGTAATCAATTCCTAGGTTCCCAAACAACAACAACAACAAAAATATCACTGGGAACATAACTTCAGAATAAAAGTTAATATCCATCCACCCACCCTCTTACAAAAAAAAGCAAACAAAAAAAAATCCCAAGTACAACCTTTCAATGCTGCTGTTTTGACTGGAGCAGAATTGGAGAATTTATAAAGGTTCAGAAGCACCCAAGGCAAGTAGTACAACGTAATTTGTTCATTAACTTGTATTGGAAAGGAGATTAAAAACACTGAGATCTGCATCTTTGTACATAAAACTGTCGTCCTGAATAAGGAGGAATCTTTCAGAAAAGTTTTACAACTTGGTGGAAGTCCAGGACCCAGCTTTAGGCATAGTTAAATCAATGGGGTTTAATTCTGACTTAGTTTTAACCACTTTTATATACTGTACATCTACCCTATTGGATCAGCATCTCAAACTGCTCACTGGCGTCCCTTTGAACAACTGTAAACTAAACCATAGTATGCAACTCCATAGGAAGCTAGAAATCGGGTGAATATACAGCCAGTTATATCTCCCCTGCTTCACGCTCCTCTGAGCTCCTTGGGTCTTCTGATCGGCCATTAGCACTTTCATAAGAACGTTTCCTGTCTTTGAAATCCCGCGGCGATCTCTCTCTCGGGCTTCTATCTTTATCACGCGATGTTCTATCACGATCTCTGGAACGCTCTTTGTCCCGGGAAGATCTCTCTTTGGAGGACCTGGAAGTGCAGTACATTTGAGAATTCTGGTTAGTCACCACTTCGTACATCCCAAACAGCATTTTGATCTTACAGTTTGCTCCTTATTCCAGAACAAAGTTAGATCTGCATGAACAGAAATGCATGAGATGACAGCGGAGTTCATTGCACTCTCCTCCTTTCAATTTCAAAATACAAATATTGACAGAGACAAAATTTCATACACACTTACTACAGAGTTCAGAGGGTCAACATGCTTCATCTTTCATTTTCAACCCTCACTCTCTGTCTCGTATTAGCACATTGTGCAAGAATTTGTCACACTGCCTTTAGCTTGAGAAGGATTGTCTAGCATCTCTCACACATCCAGGATACACATTTTTAAAAAAATTACTGTGTTTAAAAATGAGAATTTAATTAAAAGAGGAGAAATTAACTTGCACTGACTCTGGAATTTGTCTGCTATTGCATGACAAAGAAAAGAACACATCTGGAGCCTGTGCTCCAACCTGCTGGGTGTTTGTTTCTAGAAGAATCATTCCTTGAGTGATTTTAGAACATCAGCATGGTGTTATCTACAGATATTTTTGCTGTAGTCATAGGCATTTCCAAAACCTTTACATAGAAGCCAGAAAAAGCTGTTCTGTTAAACGTTCCACACAGCTTAAAATTAAATGAGCTGCCTGTATTGAAGACACTTGATTAGGTACAGGCCTCCCTTGCAGGGTGCACCTAAACCCATCACCGAAAAACATGTTTTCACTCCAAGATGCCCTGCAGTTGTAAATAAATAAATCAAACTCACACTTTCACAGAACAATCTCAGTTACACACTATAAAGCTAGTCACTAACTCCTTCGTCAATGTATCTAGTACACTGGACAGTAAGCTGTGCTCTCTCTACACCAAGCATGTTACTGTTGCTACTTCCAAGCTTCCAAAACAGAAGTTTGCAGTTGCTTTTGCACTAAACTTTCTTTTATGAGTTTACTGAGAAATCACCTTTTGTTTCAGTTTTCAAGCTAAAATGATTACTTTCATGACAGTGCAGTGTTTTGCAAAACGTAGTATTTGCAAATGGTGAAGTTCAGACAGCAATCCCATACCACAAAGTACATGAGAAATAAGAAGCCAAACTATGCATCACATAAGAAGTTAATATTGTAGTTAATACTGCTGTTCCCAAGTATTTTGCACAGTACTCTGCAGAAGCACAAATGCTCCCAAACCGACTGTCTCAGACTAACTAGTGATTAACCTAGAATAATAAGTCACAGTATGAAAGCTCACAACAATTGCCTTAGCAAACAATATTATTACCAGAAGATTTAGAACTAAGGTACCATTCCTATCTTTTCCAAGGACAAGATATTGCCTTTAGAATTAGAACCTCTGTTAGATTGTATTGCCTCAGTTGCTCAGGAACAATCACTTCCCAAGCAATCAAGTAGGTATTTCACAATAAACTCCCCCTGCCTTCACAAGACACACAGGTAGCATCTACTGTCACATTCACCAGCTATGAATTATAAATACATAATACTGGTTTGAGGGCAGCTTTTGTGAACACCTACATAAACTCCAAGGACAAAAAAAAAAAAAAAAAGTAAAAAGCCCTGGACAAAAATCCTAAGTAGCTTTGGCAGTCTGGTATCAGATCTAAGAAAGCAAGACAGCTGTGGTTTCAACACTTGTAAGGGGTGAGAAATTTGACTAAATGCACAGGTCTGTGTTGTTTGCTTTATTTCTCCCCCCTCTCCTTTTTCCTCTCATCCTCCTCTTTCCTCAAAAGACAGAAAATGAGAAAACTAAGGCTGCACCTCCCATCAATGTGGAGAGTAAGCACAGGGCTATAATATTCTTTTGTCCACCAGGATCTGAAGGATATTTTAAAAACATATTTTCCTAAACGCTACAAGCGGGATTTCTCTCACCCAGCTTTAGATGCCTGCAGTACAGAAATCTGAGCTAATCAGCCAGAATTCTTCACCAGCTAGCAAAGAAACAAGACTAATCATATCCTAACTGTCTACCTTCAGACAGAAGTGTGTCAGATGAGTCTGCAATGGGAATCACAAGATTTACATCTGATCCAGCCACCTAAAACCAGGAGAAAAGGAATCCAATTGTATGATTTCAGATACTTTATTTGACCACACTGTGCCCACAAAGAACATTAGCCTTTGTCATATGAGCTCTTGCAGGCAAGCTCAAGCACACAGACACAGGCATCTCGGTTCACACACACCTGGGCCTGCTTCCTGATTGGTCTTATCATTGAGTATGAATAAGAACATCTAACATTAGCGCTTCTTTGTAATGAAACAGCAAAATGCTCAGTCTGCTTCTAGGGAGAGGAATGATTATCCATTCTAGTTAGTGGGACCTTACAGCCAAAAGTGAGGAAACACAGCACTGTATTTAGACCTGCTCTTGGTAAGTCTGTAATCTGCACCTGGGGAGGTGCAGGGCTCCTACTATCTCAGCCATGCTGCTGTGACTGTCAAACAGGTTTCCATCTTTTGATGCATTTTTACTGCACCAGATACTTCAGACACGTCCTGCCATGCAGAAGTCTGCTCCTTACAATGATAAACCTGAAATGAGTCTAGCTACTATGTGATTTAAATCTACCCACATATGTAGGGTGAATGGTGATAGAGATTAAAGAAAACATTTATCTCAAGAATTTCTGCATTTGTAGAATTTTCTCAAATAGCACACAAACATCCCATTGCTTTTAGAATGAAGAAGCATCTAAGAGGTGGCAGCTTATCATTTTTTGTGAGAGGCTCTTCAGAAAATGTTTTCAGAAGAAAAGCAGACACGAAAATCCAAAGGAAGTAAATCATGGTTGCAGCAAATGCTAATCCCAGCATACTTGTATGTGGTGTTATACCTATCAAAATGGGAGTGTGACTTCCAGAGGAAGCATGAGGAGTTTATCCAGTAAGCAGTTTAGCTGCCTAGCACACTTACGTGTTGAAGCCATACTAGATATGGTCATAGAATGGTTTGGGTTGGAAGGGACCTTTAAGATCATCTAGTTCCAACCCCCTGCCATAGGCAGGAACACCTCCCTCTAGACCAGGTTGCTCCAAGTCCCATCCAGCCTGGTCTTAAATGCCTCCAGGGAGAGGGCATCTGTAACTTCCCTGGGCAACCTGTTCCAGTGTCTCCCCACCCTCACAGTGAGAAATTTCTTCCTAATATTTAGTTCAAATCTACCATTTTCCAGTTTAAGCCATTTCCCCTTGTCCTGTTACTACATACTCTTGTAAAAAGCCCTTCCCCAGCATTCCCAAGAAGAAGAAAAAATCCAAAAGCATCCAAAGAACAAGACAAAAAATAGCTTTACCAACAGGACTCAGTAGTTTGCAAAAACTCTGACGATGCTACTGAGTATTTTTACTACACTCCAGCCAAGCCCCCCCCAAAAAATCACACAGAAGACTTTATGCTAGTGTAAAATGCCACTCCTCCCACAGAGAAATTACAACTCCACACTTTCCTCAATGGCTTTAAAGTTGATGGTATCATGTGCTGCCACCGCTGCAGATTTGAGCAGTTCTCCAACGTTTCTGATGTCACTCTGCTCTTCTGGAAAAGGCTTCAAAAAGCATCACATTCCTCAGACCTGATTTCATGTGCATATGCCATCCAAAAACAAAAGGCTAGGACTCCTTCCTGAAACTATTAACATGCTGCAGTGTATCTTCTCCAGAGTATTTTTTGCCAGAATCCCTTGGATGATTGGATGTTTTGAGATTAAAGGAAGGTAAATGTGAATAGAGATACTTTATATCTGGACTTTAAGAAATTCCTCACAAAATTATAAACAAGGTGATTTGACAAAGAGCAGTTCCCTCTGACTAGAAAAAGAGCTCTTAGAAAACATGAAGCTCGATGTGTTTGAGCCTTCAAGTTCAGGTTTATTTTGGATTCCAGAATCAATAGTTGCATTGTATTCAATAGGAAGAATTCTCCCACATTCATACAAGAAGTAGATCTAATTGCTTGAAGAGTATTTCTAAGAAGGAGGCATCTAGTCTAGTTGAAAGGTCAATAGATGTCCTGATTCCAGAGAAGCAAGTCTGCAGCTATATGGATTCATTAGTCTCTTGAAATCACAACTTGCATACTTCAAGGGCAAAAATGCTGTTTGGCATTAGAGAATTAAGACACATGATGGCAAAACATTTTTCCCTCAAGTTAGCTATAGTCCAAAACCCTTATTTGTGCCAAAGATTTTTCCAACACAGATCAGTCTTATTCATTTTGGGCAGAAACTGGCACCAAGGAAAGTATTTCCTGTACTGAGGTTCATAAAGTTGAAATCCTGTGCCATGAAATCTAGTCTTTTTCCTCACTCATATAAAACATAGCTTGAAGAACTTAACCTTTGATAGTATCGTGCAAGACGACAATGACTTCATCTTCAAATTACTTTGTGTTCTTACAATTCATCTCTGGCAGCTGATAGGTTTTGTGTTACACAGATAACACCAACAGTTGAACATTTCCATGCTATTTTCTTGTTCTTACATATCCTCTGCCTGCAGGCAGAGAAATAACACATCATTTGCTTGTGCTCATCAAATTAAAAGTTTGAACAACTATGATGAGAATCTTAGAACAATCAGTTTTCTCTGAAATTCAGTCTTGCAAGGCTAGACTTCATGGCTGAAGTACCAAAGGCAATTTTAGTGTACTTTATGCACTGGTTCATCTGAGTGAACAAACATGTTGATTCAAATGAAAATTTCTATTTCAAGACTGAAAAACTACAAGTTTGAAATCTGGTAATCTGTCATTGTGAATGCCTTGAAAAGACATGCTCTAGAGGATAACTGATGACAAGCTAACATCAACGTAGAAACTGCTGATTCTGAAATGCTGACTTCAGGACACCACAGAACACCCTGAAGAATTTTAAATACCAGACACTACTGACAGTATCAGCTAGAGTGCTGGACACTCAGGTTTTATTCACCTGCCACAAAAAGAAGGAAACAGAAAACTTGACCCAACTCTGCTTTCCATGCTCTTAGCAGAGCAGTGTGACTAGAATCATCTAACCCAGGAAGAAAGCTCATCTTTAAGGCAAAGAGCACGTGTGAACACATTCAAAAACCGCTCAGTAGTTTTATCATCCTTGGTGATGAAACTAAAATCATTTGAACTCTAAAACCCAAGTGTTTTGACACTTCAAACTGGACCTTTTCTCTTTTCGTATGCTGACAGTCTGTCACTGTTTTAAGACTCAGCACCCTACTCTCTATATTGCTCTCAAATCTCTGCCTCAGTCACTGACCTTTACAAGAATGGAATCCAGGTTATGAGCAGACTTCTCTACCAGAAGCCTCGCTTTGCAATTCCAACTCCTTTCTAAATTATGCTTTACCTCACTCATCTAAAATAAGCCAGGAACCCCCAGGAGCAGACAGCAACTGAGTCACACAAAGGCAGCAGCTGCAGACTGCTCTTTACAGTAATCCTTAAGAAAGGGATCAAAGCACTTTGCGTGCAAAGTGCTATCTTCAGATCTCATGCAAGAAATTCATTTTCAGATATATCTAAACTTGTCTTTATTTGGGAGAGCACACAACAGACGCATTCCACCCCTGGGAGCAAGAACCCAAGAGGTAAGTTAAGACGACTGCTCATATCCTGAAGTTCAAATGGAGATCAATCATTTCACTTGCTATGCTGCAGGAAACTATCAAGATCCTCAATTTAACAACAATATCCTGTATCACTCCTCCACAACAGAAGTAATACATAAGCCTACTACAGAAAAAGAGGAAAAACCACTACTACATGTTAAATCATGGATATGTGAAGAGCATAACTGAAGTCTGTGACAGCCTCAAAACAAGTTTAAATTACTCAGTGCTGAAGGTAAACTTAATTTAGTGCAAAAAAAAAAAAAAATCAAATCTGATTATGCATGCAGGAAAAGCCGTTCAGATCAACACTGACCTCTTTTTGGAGCTGCGCTCTCGGCTCCTCTCCCTGGAGCTGTGCCTGCTTCTATGATGGCTGCGACTCCGGCTGCGGCTGTTGGAGCGAGACCTGTGGCGATGGCGCTTCTCGCGGGATTTAGAGCGAGTTCTTCTTTTCCGTTCCCTGGAGGCTGAGCGAGAGCGATGTCTGCGACGATCTCGGGACCTAGACCTAGAAACAGAAAGCACTCGGGATGCTGCACTGTCAGTGTCCCTTGGATATCTCACAATCCACGTGAAAAGAAAGCCGTATAGAGAACAGTCTGCACTGTTCAGAGCTACTGCATCGTCTCACCACAGGCAAACAAGGAGGGAAGAGCAACATCAGAAGTGCTGTATGACTCCGAACAGTCTCACAGCGTTTGTGACTACGCATGTAGTTACAGCATAGTCAATTGAGACAACAGAAAGGAAAAAAAGATGTCTAAAATCTTGTGTTTACCAGGCCAAGTTTTAGAAGTCTGTGATGAAGTGATGGGGATTATCTGGCCAGAAGCTGGCTATTATAGTGCTTTGAGAACAAAGCTTCCCCGTAACTACAACAAATCTGGAAGATTCTGAACACTATACAAATTAATGATTTTTTTCCTCTAGATCACCCTGCAACAACACTTCAATGGTGACTTTCAACTGCAGGTTAAGAAGAGAACTACCACTCCAGGTGTGAGTTAAAAGGTACTGAACACAAGCGTCTGTTTTGAAGGAAGTAATACTCTGTGTTCCAAGTGTTACCAGGGATACAACAGTTTGTAGCATTGTAATAGCCAGAAAATAGATATATGTGGATAAATAATTAAGGAGCACAATGGCAAACACTGTATAAGCACACAGAGATGGCTGTGCAATAGGATGTTCTGTCTGTAAAGAAAGAGGTCTTAATAAGGCTAGACAAAAAGTAGAAAATTTCAGCTTGTGAAAGGCTTGCATTACTGATGGCATTCTTTGCCTGCAGACTTAAGTACCTTTTGGTATGCTTGCTGTGGGATCTGGACCTGAAACAAATGGAAAATGGTAAATTAATTTTACTTTCATAATCCTAATATAAAATATAAAGTACAGATTAGTAATCTGAAGTCAAACTATCAGAGCTATTGTGGTCTTCATTTTACTTGCATGTTAACCTCACATAAAACATTTCAAATACAGCTTCATAACATTTATTAGAAAATACGTAACCCCTCAACAACTGTGTTGGATTTTTTTGTTGTAGGTGGTGGTTGTGGCTGTTTTTTTTTGTTTGTTTGTTTTTTTGAGGGAGTGGGGACATGGATACTACTCCACTTTTTAATTCATCCCCGTCCCCCACTTCAATAACAAAAGATTACAGTTAAACAGCATGACAAGAAATAAGGGAATATTGACATTATTAAACATTTCCACTATTGGCCTTGGAAGCCAGTATGTAAAGAGAACTGCAGTTGAGATGCCATTCAATCCTATCCCCACAAAGCATGAAAGCAATCATTTCATAGAAAAATAGGGAATTATTTTCCTTAGTCATACATTCAAATACTTTCAGTAAGAAAAAAATTAACATCTATGCATCATACATCAGATGTCAATATACCTCATTTCATGTGCATTTGTTCAAACATGTAGGAAAAACTACTAGTATTTGCATTTCTTTTTTTAAAGAAAAGGTTTTCTATGAAAATAATTCAGGTTTTAAGAATCAAGTGCTATATTCAGTTCCAATTACTCTAAGTGTTGAAGGGAAATTAACACAATTCTGCATATTTTATAAAACAAATGTTCATGAACATCATCATAGTTTTTCCATTTAACTTAAATAGGCCGTTACGTATATGCAGGTGAAATAGATCCTTACCTCCTTAGTTTCTCCCTTTCTTCCCTTTCCCTCTCCTCTCTGCGTTTCAGGCGCTCCTGATTTCGTTTCTCTTGTTTATCAGCCACAATCCTCTAGAAGTAACAGAATACACTGATTAAGTTACATTTCAATATTTTTCAAATGAAGGTAAAAAACTACAGAAGCAATCTCTACAGTTAATATTCAGTTCCTTCCCTCATGAATATTCACTTTTGAGTATTAGTCCCTCTCTCTTCCTCAGTATATTTTATCTTTTTCAGGAAACACAGGTTATTGCAGAAGAGCTGCTATAAACAGATGGGTGTTACACCAAGACCTGAAAGACGTAAACTTAAACCTAAGTTTTTCATGAAGGGAATTCAGAACAGAAAGTCATGCCTTAATGTGAGAGCTTTCATGCCAATCCTACCCTATTTTGGCCACTGGGGAAAGGCAAAAGGTAATCGGAACAGGAGGAGTTAAGAATGTTATTAACTCCATCAGCTATGCTGTGAAATAAAGAAACTCTTGGTCTTAAAAGGATTTGGTTGGGCTGATATCTAGTTTTGAGGCTAGCTGTTTGAGTTGTGAACATTATACATGTAATTAGAAAGGATGTTTCAGCTAATAGCCCCCAGGTTGAACTCACTACTACTGGGGACAAGGCACGCTCAGTAGAGGGCCCTCAGATGTGGAACTCACAACTGGAGATCTGGCCAAACCCAAGTCTCGCCACCTTCTGGACATGATGCAAGAAATTCAACTCTTTGTAAAGACCTTCTTCTGAGATGTGGAATTGCCCCAGCAGCATCTTGATTAGATCTCTGAGGAGAGCTCTGAGGAAGGAGGGGATAATTATTGTTTTCTTTTTTTGTTAGTGAAGTATTTCAAAAGATTATTTTATTGATGCTTTGGGAATGTGAAATAATTATCCATGCATATTTTTCTCCAAATGTGGTAATAATCAGTTAATGAGCCCCTTTATGTCAAATCATTTTTATATTGCCTTGCAAAATATCAGCAATTTAACTACAAGCAAGGTTTCATGTTCAAGTGAATCTTTGCACAGTTTCACAGAGAGATGAAAGGAAACACACATGATCTCCTCTAGGTAGCTAAGGTCTGAATTACAGCAATTTATTTTGGAGCCTACATTGCCAATATAGTCAAGGGAAAGAGTTGGGCTTTCCAAAGGTTAAGTTACAGTATCCATGCAAGACAGCTGGAATATTCAAAACAACCCAAGCTACGTTACTCAAATTCAGCAGTAACGTCTCTGCTTTTAGGGTTTTGATTCATTTAGCAGTCATCTTCAGTAATTTCTACAGTAACATGCTTAAATGAGCCCTAAACTCCATAATTAACATATTAAGATCATAAATAGTGTAAGCATCCAAGTCCATACTCTTGAATACCAAAAGTCTAGAATATAATTCCAGTAAGTCCTTCTTCAAATATACAATTTCAATGGTCCAAGGTAGATTTGTTTAGCAAAATATTCCAACTGGATTTCAAAACTGAAAGCTATGGAGAACATGCAGCCTCCCCATAACAATTACTTTAAGTTAGTCCCACTTCAAGACATACATTTTCTTCTACTTTGATTCAGCTATCTACAGCCTTAAGTTGTCTCAACTCACTTCAACTATTGTCAAGTCAAGCTTAAAAGCTTCCAAATCACTTAAAAAAAATATCTCATCTATATGACTGGATAAAATAAAATGAGTTTGTGGTCTTTCATCACACTGTCGGTGCTTCAAACACTTCGGCAGATCTTTTCAAAATTATTGCTATGAATTAATTTCCTCTTTAGGTCCATCTTTTTCACTGGTACCAACACTAAGCAAAGCTATCAACAACAGCTCTATTTTATTCCTAATGGAATGAAACACCACTGCCTTAAATTTGCTATATGTTCTTGTACTTTTAAGAGCCTCATTATTACACATTGATCTAATTAACTGGCTAAATGAAAAGTTCATTTGCCTATCTTCTATGACTACTAAACATGCTTCAGAATACAGTTCTCAAGTTTACAAGTGGAACTGCACTCTCCATTCCCAGGATGCATTCTTTGAGCACATTTTAATCTACCCAGTGCGAAAGAGGCCATCTTAACAAATTATGTAGATAACTGCTATTTAATAAGCATGTTTGGTGCTTAACAACTGCGCTCGGTGTTCACAGACCAATGAAATATCTTAAGGTGACATGAAAGAATTCACACACCCAGAGATTCCATTAAGATTGTCTGACAAGTAATTAAGAGCAAAAACAAAACAGAGGAATGATTTACCCTGAGTTCCTCAAGCTTCTCTCTTATTTCAATAAATCCTAAGTGTAGTTTTCCTCCAAAGTGGTCAGCAAGACGTCGGTCATTGTCATGAAGACCAAGATAAGCTGAACACACTTCACAAACCCGTAGCTTCTGCTGTTGAAAGCTAGAGGCAGGCATAGAATTCCTGTACACTTCCTAGAAAAAAAAAAAAGTTACCTTTTTCTTTTCAATTCATAGAAATGTAATTTTTCAAACAGGTATATTATATTATATCTTTTGATAGCATAACTCAAAGCCAATCAGCAGACGCTGATTCACGGTGTGAATTAACTGTCTTACTAAGACACACTGCAGGTTCCTCACTTTGAAGACAGGTATATTACAATGGGGATATCAGCAACTGGTTTTGCAAATTAAACAAAGTAGAGTGATTACTGCCTTTATTTCAGATCATACTACATATAAAGAGAAGTTATCATCCTAGACAGCACAATGAATACATCTTAACACTATAGTTACTAGATTTTACCATACTATGAAGCATTACGTATACTTATCCTGAACCCAATTTAAAAACAAATCTACGCACATTTTAGACACAAATTAAACATTATGTTATCCTTGCAACATTTACCTACAAACACTGAGATCACGGACTGGTGAGACTACCAGCAACCCCTCTGGTACCATTAAACAACCATAGATGTTTCTTTCTCCAAATTTAAGTACCTTGGTGAGACATGATATGGAACAGCTCCCAGTGATGTTTGCATCTCAACATTACAACAATGACTGCTTAGAATTGCCTGATACAGAAGCCATTAGCCATCTTTCAATGAAGACAAGCTTAGAAGGGTCTGAAAGGTCTCCCATGCAAGTCACACCCCAGCACATCACAATCAACAGTGGGGCTACCACAGAGCTGTGAGATCCAACAAGATGATTAAGTCCCACAAACACAGACACAAGAGATGTAGCAGCCAGTACAGCTAAATGCATCACCAAAGGAAATAACTGTAACTCTAGTAGCACAGGAGTGTATTTTAATGTTTAGTGTATTTAACTTCTCCTATACACAAAGCAAATCCCTTGGTTTTATATAAAGCTAAGGAAGCAACTGTAGCTAAGACATCTTGCACTACAGTTACTAATTTAATTTTGTCCTCTCCATCCCACAAGCCTTATATAATCAACTCACTTCAGCTTCTCTCTTCTTTACCCGGGCCTTCTCCACTTCGTCCATTACTTTTTGAGATTCTTCCACATTTCCATCAGCTCCTAGCTGTTCTACTTTGGCCAGTAGCTTCCCAATTTCTTCATTCAATTCATGAACTCGTTCAGCCTTGAAAGAGGAAGAAAGGCTCAACAAAGGAAACAGTCTTAGTTATGGAAAATAACGTGAGCCAATACTGAGCTATTCTTATATGCAAAATTCACAGGATAAAATTAAAAGGAAGCATGCAGAGGAGTTCTCCAAATAACAGGGAAACAACTGTCTCACATCAACACACAGAAAAGGGCTTAGAAACCAAAGCAGCTCTGGAACAGGATCTTGTTCAGAAATTTCAAGTAATTCACACTGTTGCCAATGCAACTTGCAAAATTACTATTTCTACAACCACCCCTCGTGGCACACATAAATTTGCAGAAAAATGACAGAACTTTTTTTCTGTTAGAAGGTTAGAAGAAGACCACATGAAGTGTTTTGTTTATAGATTCATCAGCATGAATTCTAGTCTGAGTAGTCTGAAGTTGGTTTCTTTTAAAACAACAGACCTCCAAAATAACTTCAGCAATTACACGCTTTTACATGCTTACTTTAGCTGCAACTTCAGCACTGATCTCTTCTTGGGTTTCTGCTAATCTCTTCTTAGCAACTTCTGTTCTCCTGTCACAGTCTGCAATAAATGACTGCAGGTGGTCCATCGCCTAAAACACCAACAGAATACTAATTAACACTGTAAAGAACACTAGTACTTCATTACCTTCAACAAATCCCTGGCTTAAGGTTAACTTTTAAAAGGCTTTCTTGGGGAAACTTCTAAAACAATAACATAACAGCTTAAGGTGTGTAATCACACTAACATTTCAAAAAGCTGTCTACACATTGTCAAAATGTACAAGTACTCGCAGAAACTTGGAAGGGATTCTGTCTCAACTCTTATTCGCTAAGAAGCAGCCAGCATTTATAACATGCATTAAAACTTCTGAAAGGACAGATATATTCACTTCACCTTACTAATGCATGCAACACTAATACATTGTTCCACCAGGGTTTTAAGCTGTGAGGTATATTAACATCATCCACCCCCAGCAACAACAAACCCAAACCTTTTATCTGTGCTCAAGGCCAACTTCCTAGCTGGGAGTTCATAACTGTATTACTCAGACAATGTACTCAGACACAGCATATCATTTGTTACTCCCAGTACAAAATGATTTTTTCCTCCCCCAAGAAGAATATAAGCCTTTCTTCAAATTATACACTGCATAGCATTGGCTCAATGATTGTTACTGCTAAGACAGCATGCAGGTTCATACTTATCTGTTTTTGTAAGGTTATTAACAATCCTACCTTGAGATGCCTAGAAATTCAAGTGCTTGCACATGATCATGATGAGCCATGTAAACAAATATTTAAAAAATTATTTTCCAAAAGTTTTCCCTCCTTGTGCACCAAATCTGACTGTTTGCTGCTCAGTTTATCTCCCCCAGCGCATGCAAGTTACACTTTCTCTCCACCATTGTGACAAAATACATACATCAAGTTCAAAGAAGAAATCTTGATCTTTGGATGCTATTTCATAGTCTGCCCTTAATGCCAGGTCATGCACCTTCAGACATTCTCCAAGGTCCATTCTCTGAAAAGAGACATAGGGAAAGTAGTATAACAAGCAGTATATGCAAGAATAAAGTTATAATGTTTGACTGTTAAAGGAAATCATGCTGAAGCAAATCATCTCCCTTATGGAGATACGTTTAACTTAATAAAGCTTTAAAGACAAACCCAGATTTCTATTAAAGATGCATTAATGATGACAAAAAATATAAAGAGTAGACAGCTTATTCTGTGATGGCTGTTCATGTGACAGAGTAACGTTACTGATCTGCATAAGTTATTTCTACTGAAAGTGCAAGAAAAGTCACTGAAGTAGAACATTCTGTCTTGAACTAAAACAAGAGAACCAAGATTCCTACAAATAATTAGCAATTAAATGGTCAAGTGCTTGATCTGATCTTTCCACACAGTTCACAATATAAATGTTCTGGCTATGATCATTATCTGGAATAACTGCAACCACAGCATCACTGTTAAGTGCTACTTAAAAATGTTCTCAGATCACATGTAGCCAAAAAAAAAAAAATCTCTCCAAAACATTTTGCTGATGAGTAGAGATAAGCTGAGTGCCACACTGTCCTTGTGAATCACAGAAGAAAAAGTATAGATATTTTATTCATAATCTAAAACTGGTCTACAATAGGACAGGAAGGAAGCATGAACTAAAGCAAATTCATTTATTATATCACTAATCTTTAATCTAATGTAGAATATCACCAAGAAGAGCACTCAATTTTATTTGGTATAACAAATACTGGCTTAAAATTGAAATTCGCACACTGTACAGCAAGAAGAATTTTGATTAAATCTGTTTCCTTCTTACTCCATCGTGTAACCTGGAAATTATTTTGAACCATCACTACCACTGAAAAACAATTCTGCCCTCCCTTCACCACCACCCTGTGCCTCCCCCTGTATCAGCACATTGGAGTATCAACTGAGAAAAAACACCTTAGCAAGCAAAAAATTGAGGTAATTTTTCAGCAGAGTACCTTTGTCCAACATGTCAGGCAGCCACACAAACAGAGGTGTTGCCAAAACACGGGGGGAAGCATAATAGGGGACCTGAGTAGCTAGGATCTCTTACAGTACCAAGATGTCATTTCACAAACTCCTGAGTAGCATCAATAAAATTAGCTGCAATCTTCAGGGGGCTGTGGGAGGGAGGTGATGTAGCATTTTCTTTTGTTAGCATCACAATGAGAAGAAACTGTGTTGAACTGCTTCCTTCTCTTCAGCTTTGAGCACAGCCTTCTAAATGCTCATGGGGCTTAACAGACAGAGCCTTCTAAATGCTCAGGGGGCGGAACAGAGAGGAACAACAAGCACATACAAGTGAAACTGGATTCCTTTTTGTTGGCTTTGCTGATGAAGAAATTCTACCATTGTTAGAACAGCTCTGTAGTGCAGCCTGTAGTAGCTCTGGCTACTGCTTTGAAAATACTTAAACAACTATTACTACTGAATGTTTATCTTAAAAACTGTTAGTAAAACCAAGCTCAGAAACATAGACATAAGTTTAAAAGTTTAGCCAATTTACATGTTACACATAAGGTCAGGTTAAAATATACACTTCTGGTATATGCTAAGCAAAGTTAGGCAAAGTTGGTTCATATCAGGGATGATTCATTACTGTCAAAAGTCTACACTGGATTGGAACTGCTGAGGATCTTGCTAACCACAGAGAAGCTCACACAGTTTGGCTCATAAGACCATCTGCAAAATAGATGAACAGGAGGTGAAGAAGGCCAGAAGATACATCAAGATATTATTTTCATGTTCCACACGTCCACGTTGCAATCTGATGCCAAGTTGTGCCTTACCCCAAAGGCAAAGAACAGTCATTCAAGACCAAAATTAAGGCAAAGACAGCCAACCATTCAAGATCAATCATATTTGAAACAGAAGGTGGCTATAAGGGATGTTCAGGTTTCAAACTACTGCTGAAGGCTTAAATAGCATGCACATAAAATCATCACATCAGCAGTGAAGTTTTAGACAGACTTATGCTACTTAAAGTGATTTACAGAGGAATCTTGACGAGCAAAGCAATGAAAGGGGGGGGAAAATTAAGTCCTCAGGCAAGATATAACTCGTTTATTGAATATGAGAAGCCATACGTACCATCAGGGCTTTCTGCAGCTACTACATTTTTACTGAACATTAACTTCAGAAAAATTCCTATCCTGAGAATCTTTATCACAAAGGAAGGTTACTGCTGAAGATTTAGTCCAGAAAACAGTTTCGCAACCACATGCAGATCTTCTCCTGCTGCAGAGCTCTATTTAAGAAAAAAGTGATTTGCTACAACTTGCTAACCTTTGCCATAACACTTTTTTCTTCTTTCGTTCACTGTAAACAGGCAATTAAAGATGCTTGATTTCCTAGAGCTGAGGTGTAGATAACTCATTTTTAATCCTCATAAACCTCATACTGAAATGAGTCAGTAATTATTTTTGTCATCCCATCCATGAAAATGGATAGAACTGTATTAACACAGAAAAACGTTTGCTTCCTGTTGATGCTTGGTACCGTGTCAATCAAATCAGGTACAGAAAGATCACTGCCCTGCTTCATTATATACAGGCAAGGAAGAAGTGTCCAGAATATAAGCAACACAGAAGCTGAAGAGCTTTTATGAAAAATAAGTGTGCACTCAAAGAAGCTGACATCAGTAGCTGAACAGACTAAACCATCAGACGTGGTGCTGTTCTTGAAACCATGAACCTAAGGTTTTGTTTTCAGGTCTTGAGCAATCTACAAGAAGCTTCTCATCTTCATGCTTTTACAACTACTATATATTCTTCTGACATCAAAGTTTAGATTACTGGATGCACACAGTAAGGTCTGCAGTAAAAGCATATAGAAGCCAAACCGACTTAAAACACAAAGGACTGATGTTGAGAGGCGTGACAGAGTATCACACACTATCAAAGTTCCTAAAACCAGCACGCATCTTTGATGTGTTCTGAGAGGTGATACTCTGAACAGCATTTCTGTAGAGAATTCTTTCTAGTTAAAAAGGTAGCCCCACCAAAACAGCTCATGTTCAGCAAGAGAATTTGTTTGTGAAATTCTGATCTGAGAGGAAACGTTGTGTTCTGGAGGTACCACACCTCTCCCTTTACCAAGAGTGTCAAGAAAAAATGTTCCCCTCTTTAATTTTACCTACTTCTGAAGGCTTCAGTATCTTAGAATAGATTTTCCCTGAAAGATAAAGCTGGCAACAATGCCTCACTTTTAAGTGAGATATCTGTTTCTTTAATGTTAATTTATAATCAGGCTATAAAGTGCTAAAGTCAGATAACCATACTGAAGAGCAATGATAAAAAATGAACAACCCAACCCTTCTTCTACATAAATTACACTCATTAAAATGGAACGTGGTAAAATAAGTTGTTCTTTAAGCACTGGTCAAACTAATTAAGAATATGTCTAAAGAGACTGATTTGATTGATCGCTTACTGTCTCAACAGAGCATACAGAAATTCATCACCTCTAGGTTGAAGACTAGGAATCGAGGTGGCTTGTGCAAGCCTAATTTCATCTGCAAAGGTTAAAGCAGTTCACGTGATCAAATCAGACCTAAACTGATCTGCTGATAACCTCTAGCAGAACATGAAATAATCACATCAGCACAACTGAGTTTTAAACACGGAATACTTCCACCAAGCCTATGGAACTACTGACAAAGATACCAGCTCCAGACGAAGACACCTAAATGCAGGTACTTAAACACACCTATTTGCAGATGTGAGGACTAACCCAACTGCTCTTCCACAGTAAAATGATCTGAGCATACAGTGCAATGAGACAAGATGCATTGAGCCCACCTTCAGAGGGGCACCCAGTGGCATGTGAAATAGATCTTGGACACTGAGCTCCCCAGATGGAAACTAAATTTAGGTGTCTTTATCTGGAACAGGACTCCACCCTAATGAGCTTAAAGATAAGACGTCTCAAAGCATGTTGCTAAACCAAGGTCCCAGCCAGCACGACTCCTGAAGGGCTGAGCGCAAGGAACTCATGAGCCTAACCATGCACTTAACTGTAGGACTGCACCAACAGCATATTTTGAGGACTTTAAAAACAAAACGCAAAAAGCAACCTACCTCAACAAACACACACAAAAGCAGATAAAGTTCACCCAGTAGAAAGAAATTTCTCAACCGCAATTTGCAAGGTCACATAAAATACTTGTGACATTTACCTCTCAACAGGAAAGGACAATCAATGTAATAAAACAAGCAAAGGTCACTGCAGAAGCACTGACCTGCTGGGGCTGTCAAAGGCAAGCTGCCAGTTACTACTGTAAGTGTTCAGGACTTGATTACTTTTAACCTTACTGAAGGTATTTGCTTTAAATGTCACTACATTATCACTTCAACCACTACAACTCAGACACAGACTCACGAAAATAGAAAAAACACATTCTTGCCTGTCTTGTAAAACCTGCAGAAGACAGCGTAACATTTACATCCACAGACTGTTACTTGAGAGGGGCACGCCATTAAAAAGGAGTCGCCTGACTTCTACTTATGCAGTTTCAGTCCCCATGTCATAACACACACACATATCTGTGTGTATACAGATATGCAAAAACATTTTTGTAACACTGATGAAAAGGAACTCAAAAACCATGATTTGAAAAACAAACAACAAAAATATCAACCATCACAAGACTATCAGCATTTACTGAGCCTAAAAAGGTAAAGCAAGCGTTAAGTCTTTATCACTTAGCAAATTTTATTTCAATTTTTTGTCTTAGTGACTTTCTGTGCCCTAAAAGACAGGGCTCAAAGACTTCATAATCTCATTATAAAATTCTCATCTTGGGATGAATGAGCAAACACTTAAACTACTGACATATGTAAGAACCAGTGCCAGTGTGATCAACTTCAAAAAGCAGAACAGCAAAGCATGAACAAGTGTCAATTAAAAACAGAAAAGCATTTGTAAGAGGCACTGTTAAAAGTAGGTTCTGAACAGACATTATTTTATTATCTTGAATACAAAGTCATTTCTGCCATCTTACTGACTAGCTCAGGATCTGCCTGATGCAAACTTAGCAAGGCACTTCACATACAAGACAATCACAGGGCACAATACATTCAGAATTATAACATCCTCTATCAATTTATTACCTTTGCTTATATTTCTGCTGTTAGGACTCAACAGTCTTCCAATAACTTCAACACAGCCCATTATTTCCATGAAAGAGAAGGGTAACTGAAGCAGAAGGAACTGTTCTGGTGGCAAAGCACCCAGAAGAAAATTTAACTTTGAAACAGAGTCAGTTTTTATGACTTATAGCCCTCAATCAAATATTTAGGTTTCCAGGAAGGACTATTTTACCATGACAAGCTACTCCAAGGAAGACAGAGGAGTACAAAAGGAAGCTCTAAGGAGTCCGAATCTGTGCATTGTTGCCCATCTAGACATTGGAAACCGCCTAGTAAAACTCAAAATTCAAACCTTTAATCATTTGTGAGTTTATTTGTTGTTGTCTTGTGGTCTTTTTCCCCCCAGTAAACACTTTTAATGATAACCAAAAAATAAATCTGATCAAAGTCATCTGACGAAAATAACAACTCTAAATGTTCTTGAGAAGCCCAGAAGAACTCATACAATATTCTTAAAAAGAAAGAAGCAGACACTGCATCCAAAGACAGAAGAGATGAGATTCACAGAAATCTGGACAAAACAAGCTTTCCAATCTTCTACTAAAGGCACACGCGCACTACTGTTGCTGACACACACTGCAGTCTGGGGAACGTGATTTTATCTTCAAGGGAAATCAGCACGTGTTCCTTAGTGGAGTTTTGGGTATTCTGCCATTAAAGAACAAACTGAATTAACATATTCTACTGATAGCAGTAGTTTTATTTGTTTCATACATCTGTGCGCCTTCCTCAAGTGCTTCTGAAGAAGTGGGTGGAACAGAGTAGCACAGCAGTCTGCATTTTGCAGAGGGGAGCAGTAGTGCGCCTTTCAGAAGAAGGCAGATATAGCAAAAAAAAAATTGGCAATTCACAGCCAGTATTTTATTGACAATGCAGTCAATGAAGAGATTTAACCATATAAACCAATCAACAGAACTTATTTTTTTGCATAAGCATAAGATTCTAACGTTGAATTCAAAGTCACACAATCCTTGTCACATATTAATCTTGATCATTAAGATACACTACAATTTTCCTCTCAAAACTCAGGAAACAAATCCATCTTCATTTCCCAAATCATCAATAACCTGTCAGATGCACTATTTGCTTTCTGCTCTTCTAATAGCTGTGCTGCTAAGGTAGGAAGCGTGCTTCTTAAGAACACTGAACAGCAGAACACTGGATGGGTAATATTATAATGCCTGCTTCTGATGAGTCCCCTGCTTCTACTCCCACTGACAGCATTAGGCTAGTCACTGATCTTCTGGACCTAGAATGACATCATGGATCACATTTTATCACCTGATGCCTACTTGAATTTTGAGGAAGAAAGCAAGTAACATATACTCACTGAATAAATACTCCAAGAGCAGCAGCAGAACAACTCAGAACGAGACAGAAGAGAGCTTTAAGCAAGAACCAACACACTCATAGACAGGCACAGCCTACATGCCTGATCTGCACTGTAAGAGGTATTATTGGATGCTACCTAGAACCTTTAGAACTATAAACAACTCTTACTTGCTAACAACAGCCATTCTAAAAGTATTTGCTTACGGAAATTATACCACAGTGGAAAGCTGTCAAACTAACATTCTAAAAGGACTCTGAATTCTGAACAATGACTTCAGACATTTCTGTAGCATGCATTTATGTCCCCAGCCATGAGGTCTTTTGCTCACCACGCAACTAAAGCACCAGACAACATAACAGATGGGGGACATCTTCCTCTTCCCCTCCACTTCAGAGTTACACATAAAATAGCTGAAAAATAGACCTACACATGCACATATACATGCCCAATAATGATACATAAAGCACTGTTATCAAATTATTATCACTTACACTGCCTTAGTTTCAGCATGCATTATGTTCAGTTTGACACCTAACACATCACACGAGGACAAGGCAAAGGAGGCATAAGCCTTAAGGAAGGGCTGAACAAGGGGAGCTTTTTTATTCCACTGCTTTTTATATTAAGACAAATCTTATATTGTCTAGTTCAGTTCTCTACTCATTTTGCCTCCTGCTGATGCGTTTCATAATAATTGAAGTTGCATCCACTTTTCTAGGGACTTCTCATTGAAGGGAAAGACAAACTGTAGTTATTGGTCTATCAGTACATGAAATGACAAAGTAAGTAAAGCAAACAAATTTAGTATAGGCGTGAGTCTTCAAAGCCCTCTGATTTACCAGAAATATCATGGTTATTTAAGATGACAGCTATTCATATTGAAGGATGAGACACAGGTAAACCAGTTACCAAGTCTGCATATTCCAGTTTTTCATCTTGGAAATGGACTTTATTCTGTATTTTACAGAAGACTCCAATCAAGTCAGCCATTTCAAAGAGTAAGGTACAGAGAACTAAAAATGCTTATTATTAATACTTCTAATAGCCCTTAAGACATATTTTCCAGTGCTTATTTTCTCCTCTGCCAACACAAATAAGAAAACCTACTGAAGTGTTGTATAAAGAATAGTAGGCAAGTGAGACCCAGCACATCAACACACTCATCTATCAGCTGTTTTGAGGTATCTGCCCACACGTACATCCTTTTTCCATAATCAGCATAACAACTTCCCTGCCCTTCACAAAGGCACCCCAGAGTGAAGCACCACTGCTCTAGAAAAGTTACTGGCACATGTTGGAGTGCTTTGTTCCTACATAGGAACCTCTGATACAGAATCAAAAATCCAAGCCAAGTTATTAATATACTACAACTGGAGATTTTTAAATTGCCTTAAATCTGTAAAAATAGGACAGTAACTGGATGTCATGCACTTTGTCACTTATGCACAACATATTTCAGCTTCTAGAAATGCAATTATTGGTACTTTCAACTGCTTTCACAAAAACGCAACCGAATTTATAAAAAAAAAAAAAAACCACAAACTTCTCTTCCCCATTCAGATGCCAACAGGAAGTTTTAAGGAAGTAACTTCATGTGTTTGTACAGAATTGTATAGGAGTATTTCTGCTAGTTACAACACTATTGGTGTATAAACACTTTGTTACAGCATGATTTACGTAGGTAGCCTGATCTGTTTTAGGTTTTGTATGCTACAGTGAACAAATATGAATTTCTGAGTAATAATTAACATACAGTGCCAGAAATGGAGAGAAAAAGCCTCTGTAATACAAAATTCGGTTTTTGTATAAAAGTTGGCACGAATCCAACCTGTGGTTGAAAAGCACAGAGTCAACAGATATTAAAAAAGACCAAAGAATTCAATGTTGCCATTCTGAACTAAACAAAGCAAGGCACTCGGTTACGTACAGTTCCGGAGAGGACATCATGAGGGCAGCAGTTGAGGAGGTGACTCTTGCACACTCTGTCATCACTGAACTTGATTCGCTGGCGGGTCGTGTCACCTGCAACATAGAAACCAACACAACCCGGGTTAGAAATCTGGGGAAGCCAGACACGTAGTGCAAGTTACATGCAAAGCATTAACACTGTCCTGTCATGTAGTGAAGGCCTACGGAGACTAGAACTTAAAACACTCTATGCTTCTTTGCCAAATAAAGCCAAAACCACAAATACATATTTTAATGCTCTACAGTGCTATTCAAGAATACTCTCATACTTCCCCTACAAAAATGTAGTGTGGAAAGTGCTTGAAACCAGAAGGGCAGTATTAGCTTTAAAATACTTTGCTACAACAGCATTTGTTAAACAAGCTCTATTCAGGTTTTGTACAAAATAGCAATGTATTTCTTTGCAACAATTAGCAAATAAAAGCAGCTTCATAAACAAAGTGATACATAGTGAGTCTTCACTGAATCCCACCTGAAACTCATTTTATTGTTTCGCTTTTTGAAGCAAAGCACCCTCTTACTTCTGATAGGAGTAGCAAAAAGAGTTGGCAGAGGAATGAATTTAAATGCTTAAAAACCTTGAAAAAAAAAAAGTCAGTCAAACATATGGACAGCCTATATGCAAAATGATTTTACAGATGTTTGCATATAACTGCATGATAAGCCATAATACATCGTTTTTCCTACATGCTGTTTGTTGGGATGGGAACATCTTAATTGCATCTTCATCATGGCAGGCTGCAGTTCCAGCATCAGCAGAGGCATCAACCTGTGCACGCTCTGACATCCAATTGCAAGTTTAAAGAACCCCACCTGGCAGCAAGACCTGAAGTCTCCAAATCAAAGTCACCAGCTGGTATTTGGGGGGAAGGAAGGGGGGTTGGGAAATATGCTTTCCTTCAAGTCATAACGTCATTGTCACTGAGATTCAGAAGAGAGGTTGCTGCTACAGCTCTCTTGCTGTTAAGATACAGGCATGATGAAACAAACACCTTAATCTCTCTCAGTATTCATCTATTTATTCATAAAAAAATAAAAACTTGTTCAAATGTTTAATCATTGAAAACCTACTGGTGAATTACTGAAGCAAGGAGGGTTGCTGAGTGAAAAGAGACGTGCAATGAGTTCATATAGCAATCTTATCCATTTCTTCAAGTACTATAAAGAACATGGATGCATTCTGCAGTCACTACATTTTTATGACTCGATGATTGGAAATGCTGAGAATTTTGAATTTATTAAACAATTCAAAAAGTCAAATCCATTACGTAAGTAAATATGACAGAGGGGAATTAAGAAAAAAAAAACACATTCAGCCTTTCTCATGATACAATCACATTTATACTCCATGCATAGGATGCTAATATAGCATTTTCAGCTGGGCCCAGTTTCAGATTATTAAGCAAACAAAAGTTCCCCAGAACACCACGTGCTTAATTTGACTGCAGGGATACAACAGCTAAACCCAGTAATCCACAGGCTGAAGGCAGCTTCAAAGCAGTTCAGCAATAGGTTTTCTGGAGGTTAAACTTACCACTGTTACTCACACCGCTAAAAATTTAGAGCAATCCCTTTGTAATCATGCCTGCTACTGCAGTAAAGAATTCCATGTTTTGGTTTGCTTTTTAGGAGGTGGATCCATAGTTCGTTGTTGTTTGTTTGTTTTAAAACACAACTGCGTTTGTTCCACATTCATTAACACATCTGAAAAGTTAGCGATAACTCACGGCTCGGCGAATGCGGGGCCTTTCTGACACTCCCTTGCAGATTGATGTAGACAGGCAAAGATACATTGAACCTTTATAAATAAAACAAGGGGCCAGATTGTTCAGTTTGTATAGAATAATAGACTCTGCCAGCAATTTTAACACAGCATCTAGAAATACACGTTGACTGTAAAGATTCTTCTACATAAAGACAAATGAACAAAATCAAGAGAACTGTTGAAAAAAAGGCAGCTGACGGCTATTAGGCACTAACCTAGCAGCAGTTAAGGAGTTCCCAAGACTAGGAAATTGCTGAGAGACTGACGGTTCCCTAGGTAAAGTTGGAAAGAAGATTTTCACAGACATTACCTCAACGTCCAGAGGTCGTTGTGTTTGTATGCAATTAGTGACCGACTCTGCAACATGGGCTCTTTCCCTCTAAGGGGCTAACGTGATAACCATCATCACCAAACTGGGACAAGACAACAGAGAAAATAAAGAGGTACCAGGAACAGATCAAATGGCAGCCTTGTAAATGTATTCCACGTTTACACTGCAACTGGCATTCATATTTCTGCACAGTGCTTTTGGTCTGGCATTTCAGACCTCCAGAGAGGCTCCCGCACACAGAACGCTCCAGTACATACACCTTCTTATCTACATTCCCCATTCTTTCTAATCTGTGCTGTTTCTGATTTAGAAAGAAAGAAAAGGTGCTTTGTCCAACCTCTTACCGATAACTGAATTGTACATCCCTCTTAGAACTCCTTCCAAACCCCAACTGCCTCCAAAGAAAATATATTTTATTTTCTCATCACTTTGTAAGCTCCAGTACCCCCAGAATGGCACAGAACTGCTGGCAAAGCAGAAGATGCAGCCTGCTGCCAGCCTACACATCAGTCATCTGCAGAGGGTCACGACCTCTGGGGGCTACATGGGCTGCTGGAGGGGGCAAATGAGACCCACAGATCCATGCTACGCACAACACTCAGCACACTGCAGACTCAGATGTGCTTTCTCAGAGGCACCCACAGGAATGCAAACCTAACTGTTCCTAAACCCAGGGCTTCAGAGGTCACACAGCCCACACCACACTTCTCTGCAGCAAACTATACTTAAGCTGGGGCACTCTTCATACGGCCAATGCCAAAGAACTGTTAGGAGTACTTAAAGGCTTTACATATTCTGCAAAAAGAAAACAGATCCAAGGATCAAGTAGTTGCAGGCATCTAATTTTTAGAAGCAGCCTTAAACACTGATAAAGAGGATACTACCACTAATATTTCAGATCTCCTAAGTTCTACTTCAATAGGTAAATCATTACATTAGCTCAGAATAGCAACTTATTTAACCCTTGATCTTTAGCACTCGTGCTCATTAAAGAAATCAGAGGAGACAATATCTATTACTGTAAGCCACTCCAGTGTTTCCAATGACATTTTTTTTCCACTGAAGAAAACCATCATTGGTAAAATGTATACTGAGGTAACAGAAAAAAAAAATCACTATTTTTTCATCAAGAAGCAGCTCTGGTTTCACACAGTGTGCCTCGCCCAAATCATATTTCTATTCCATATTGCATAGGTTGCTCCAAAAGTAATGCTTCCCATTTATTTTCATGGAAACTACAACACAGAGCACAGTAACACTCTTGGATAGAGCAAATTCTCAGTTACAGAACACTAGTTTTCAACACAGCCACCGTTATTAGCCATGCGTTTTTACCGGCGAGAAACACGCTGCACTTGTAAAATCTGCTGCTGTCCCTGCTGCTGGAATGCACTGTGCTCCACCTCACTGCTCTCACATCCACTGTTTGGTCTCCACAGACCTTCAGCAAATATCAATGGGTGCCATTTTTTCCACATGGGGAATGCAATGACCCCTCCTTCACACGCACTTCCACACCAGACGCCATTTTGTCAGCCTGCCCCGCGCTGCCATACCACCAACATCCACCTCTAATATTGCCAGCCAACATAATAAAATAGCAGGCATTGCTTTTGGAGCGGCCCTCGGAGATTTTCATCACAGTCCAGCAGAACAAATATGAATCTACTGATCGTGTAATATCATGTTAAAAACTATATATCAAATTTTATCAGCAAAGCAAGCATCTTATAACAAACACTCAGCATCTTTCCTTAGCAGAACCTCATACAGTTGCAGGAGGTACTGCTGCTGTCTCACATGGGAAGCTAATTCTGACTGAGCGTTGCTAATACCTGACACAGCTCTCTAAGGGCTGGGCTACTAAAACTTAGTAACGAAGCCAGTAAATAGGCACAACTCACTAAGCACAAACGTTTTCCTCAAGCCATCTGACTGGACTGATCTTTCCACAGAGTATGCGTGGCTATACTGTCAGATTTCTGAGTTGCTACCAGTTCCACACTTGGGGTAGGTTCTGCTGAAATTCACACATTCAAGATGTTTTTTGCTGCTTTTCCTTTGCTGGGAAGGTATTTGCACTCACATGGAGGTGACGTAAAAGCCATTGCTTCCCTCTCCTCACGAAGAGGTCAGATTTGCACAGTCACACCGGAGGCTCTGTGTTAGCAGCCAATTTACATTTCCTGAGGACTTGCTCTAAAGGTCTCTTGATAAAAGTTTCACGCAAAATTTACACACAAGAAATTCACATTGTTTGAAGTTCTTTGTGTGCAAACATCTCTGCTGCATTTTAAAACTTTCAGTGCAAGAAGAACACAGAGAACAAGGAAATGCTTTGCTAGTCACAGCTACAGATTCTGGCTAAGGTCTCCATGTACAGCTCAAACAAACATCAGGTGAAGCACAGAGGGGCTGACTGACACTTATATATGTGTTCCAAACATTTAAAGGCTCCAAAGATGAACAAGTTCCTGCTAGTCACACAGTGCAGTATTTGTTAGGAAGCTTGGGAGAACATTTTCATGACTACAGGTAAACTTCTAAAGCACACCATTTATCTATCTATACAGAACCTCATCCACTTTGCTAGCTTGCCATGTTCTTAGACTAGAACACGGCTTTGGTGTAGTGCTAATTATATACAAGTATGGGATGTTTCAAAGTGTGTCCTGGTCTCACCTGGGCCTGCACTGCTCTCCCAAGCAGTGACCCTGCTGTGCCACTATGAAAATAACAGTAAGTACTCCTGGGGTACTGATGGCATGATGTGAAGATTTTGCTTGAGAAGCAAAGTCACAACTTGTAACAGCTGCAAACCTATGTGCAAGGATCATTCCTATTTTCTAGAGCATAGAGATGACAAAGAAGGCATTACCTAACCATTCCATTAGAACTATTTCATGAATCTCAGAGCTGAAAAGTTATTTAAAGTAATTTAAAAATTCATACTTTTCAGTCTCTCAGCTTACTCCACATATCTGAGTGACAAATTCACACAGCCCTGGTCACCAGCACTAAATTCACCTCTAAATCATCTCTTAACAACTGTCAGGTGTGACAGTCATTTTGCTTAACTGCTAGCACTGAAAAACAACACGGATAAAACACGTGGATGTAAGTAGGTAGGGTCAGGACCTTATCTTCTGCACTCGTTATTTCCCAATATTTGCGGAACCCACAGTATCTATTCAGCAGTTTATACTTAAGCTTCTCCCAGCAGGTACCAGGCAGCACACGTGGAGAGAGCAGTTTGACCCCAAGCGCATCTCTCCCACTGCTAGAACTGAGGGAAGGAGCAGGCCACCAAAGAACACAGCTCTCAGCTCTCCCTGCCCACACGCATGGGGCCCCTGGGAAAAGGTTACAGCACAGGGGCAGGCCCAGCACAGCACGGCTCTGGGAAGCCACACGCTGGGCAATTAATTCTGTTTGAAAGAGAGAAGCTCCTCGCTGAGCTTGGTCCTTGTAATTTATGTGATATTCTCTTTGACCAACACAGAACAGTGATTTTAGGCGTTCTCGGAGCTCAACAAGACTGAACAGCATTTAATAACTACACTGCTTGAATACTTCACTTTGGAGCACATTCGTATACTCTACAGAGAATATTATAAGCTCTGAAAAAGCAACATAGGCCACATATTCAAGCAACATCATTTGCTCTGAGTTCACCTCTGAGTTAGCACTATTCTCACAGAAGACACCAGATTTCCAATTTCCCACGGGTGAAAATGTCAAGCCTGCACATTCTAGGTACCTCCTCTCACCAAAAAAACACCACCAGGCTGCAGTGAGTACAACATTCTATTAATGGGGACGTTCAAATACATTCTTGTCATTCTGAACAACATCAGACACAAATCCCACCCATACACGATTTTTAGAAGCATTTTCAAGTCAATTCTATGGCAAGGCAGAGGAAAATGAAAGGCGATGGGGACAGATGCAAAGGGAATCATGAACTGTGACCTATCCAGACTTATCCAGGAGATGGACAGCCCCATTTCACTGAAAGCTGTGATTTGCACATTGCTAGAAACAGAGGATTCATCAAAGGTAATGGACAAAATGGGGAAAAAAAATTAAAACCCCTTTACTCTCAGGGCTAGCAGTATTTCAATGACCTTGAGCATGGCCTTGAATTTATTAAGTACCAGCTTCACTCAAATGGATGATGATCAGCCCTGGAAACATTTTAGATTAAACAACGTCCCACTACACTTTCTACTTTTTAAGAACCAGAGTGGTGTTACACTGAGATCCTCAATTCCCCACTTAACTTAATAATGGCAGCCAGTATTACAAACAGCCTTTTCTCCTTATCTTTCCTCATTCTGACTGTGCTATTTAGAAGCTTCCTGTCCCACCAGTCAGTTTCAGTTCAGCAGCCGCTGTTCTGGATTTAGAAGGTGGGCGGGAAGGGTAAGTCCTGTAATCAGCAAAATAACTGCTTTCTCACAAAAGCAAAGGAAATTAGTATAACGTTGTTTTTCCCACCTTAGGTCATATACCTAACTGTCATTTTCACTTTTTAGCAGTTCCCTGAGGTAAATCACATTCTTCTCCTATGGCCCAATAGAAAACACATTCAAAAACTGCAACAGCAACTCCTGCATTTATATCTTCCATCCAGCCCTCGAAAGCTCTCAGACACAGCCACTGGGGTGCTGACCAGAATGAGCTGAACTGCCCAAGCACTGTGCTATCCTGCCATGCTGAGTGTGCAGCCACACACAGCTGCAACAGGAAGCACTCAAAATCTTCAGGGACAAGAACAGTGTGCTCCATTAGGTCCTGCATGCTGACAACTCAGCAGCCAGCACTGCTCTAGAAGGCAACTTCTGCATAACTGTAGTTTTCCAATGTGTTTACCAAAGAATGAAACTCCGTGAATTGGAAGAAACCCATAACGGGCCCTGAGTACAACTCCTGTCTTCACAGGGACACCCTTATGCAATGCATCATGAATGCTTTTTGTTAGGAGTTTTATTATAATTAAAACTCTAGATTAAAAGAACTGTCAGGAAGGTGGTGCTGTCCCAGCCCCAACAACTGAGCACCAGCACATGCAGCCTGCCCAGCGAACGCACGAGGAAAAAGATAATAATAATTAACTCCACACAAAGCTTCAACAAACATGCAGCGTGCCTGCAGAAAGAACTACAGCATGCAGAATACTCATGTAATCTCTAATTACTGCCAGCCCTCAGATGCAGTATTCTCTCATTTATAAATGAAGCACTACACAGCTTATTGGGACTCCCTGTTCTCAAGCAGTCCCCAGGCCCTCTGGATTACAGACCACTACCATCGAATCTTCCACCGACCAGAAGCCTGGCTGCTCCTAAAGCACCTCTCTCGGAATTGCTGCCTCTAAATATCAGGCTATCAGAAAAGATTTTTGCGGGGGGAAAAAAAAGAAAAACAAAACATAACTAAGAGCAAGAGGGATTCGTCCACTTGAGTAACTAAGTCCCCTTTCAGAAGGCAACAGCAGTCTCACCTGCTGGCTATAATGAGGATCTGGGTCACACTTCAGTCAAAAAATAACGCGACAGGCCGATGCTGCAGTGGCGGCCCTGGCCCCGGGGCCATTTTCTCGCTCGCCCCCCCGCCCGACCCGGAGGAAAGCCCCGCTCTGGGCGGGGCCCGCGGGAAGCGCCGCCGCCGAAGCGGCGGCGGCGGCCGAACGCGGCTCCGCCCCGCGGCGCCGCCAATCACCGCCCGCAGCCGCCGCGACCTCGAGGGCTCCGGCAGCCCCGCCCCGCCCCGCTCCCCCCGTTCCCTTCCCCCCTCCCCCCCTTCCCCCCCCGGTCCCTGCGGAGCCGCTTACCGTCCCGGGACGTGCCCATGAGCTGGTCCAGCATGGCGCGCATCTGGGCCTGCGCCGACATCTTGAGCGCGCGGGGGCGGCCCGGCCCGGCCGAGTCACGCCGACTCCCTGCGGCCTACAAGGCCCGAGGCTCTCGGCCCTCCCCCTCGCGTCACTCGCGGACTCGCGCAGCGACACCGCCGCCGGGGACGAAGCGGGCGCTGCCTGTGGCCGTGCCGCGGACGGAGGACGGAGCGCGAAGCCCGCCCCGCGCCAGACCCGCCGCTGCCGCCTCCCCTCCCCCCGCCTGGCCGCCCGCTTCCTCTCACGCCTGCCACGCGCGCGCGCCAGCGCTAACGGAAACCCGCGCGCACGCGTCGTGCGCCCCCCCCCCTTCACCCGCTCCGCGACGTCATCGCGGACGGAGCCTTTGGCACTCTCTGATTGGCCGCCGCGCGCGGTGACGCGCGGCGCGGCGAGGCCGCCGATTGGGCCGGGCGGCTTCTCGCGCGGTGATTGGGCGGGGGGCTCCGCGCAGGCGCCGTGAGACACGGGCTAGGCGGGCGGCCCCGAGGGGAGCCCGCCCCGTCAGCGGGTGCGCGGCGTCGGGCCTGGCGGTGGCGGGCGCTTTGTTGTGCCTGCGGCAGCCGTGTTGCCCTCTAGCGCCCGGCCGCAGCCGCCGACTGGTACAGGGACTGGCCCAGCTGTGAATCTGACGCCCGCAGGCAGGGGACGCGTTACACTGTCAGACTTTGCTCGGTGCAACCGAAAGAAAAGGCGACACAAAAAGCCGCCCCGCCCCAGTCGGGATTCAACATGAACTGTGGGGAAGATGCAATGAATCCCCACAAAAGTAGTTCTTAGAACGCGTTTGTGGAAAAATTCCTGGCCCGGAGCTCCTCACGCAGTCTGAACATGCCCTGGATTTATTGTTTCCTTTGTCAGATTTGGTTTTGGTCGTCATTATGGTGTTGGATGGGGCGAATCCTCAATCCACTCAGAAAGTAAATCAAAAGCTTTCCCCTTGTTCAGCTGGTGAGACTGCAGAACTGCCAATGCAATTTATAGCCTACAAAACCTTACGGCTTACCACTTGCATCTTACCTGACCCACATCTCCCAGATATCCCCGGCCATCTGCTGTGCCCGTCTCCTGTGCCTGGGGCTGGGCTGGTGTTAAGGAAAAAGGATAGCATGTGGATTTAGGTAGTTGGATCGAGTGTATCCTCAGTAGTTTGCAGATGACACTGAGCTGTGTAGTGTGGTTGACACACCTGAGGATTCTACCAAAGATATGCTCGAGCAGTGGGCCCAGGAGAACCTCATTGGGTTCAATAAAACTAAGCGTGAGGTCTGCACATGGGTTGTGCCAACCCCTGCTACCAGTACAAGCTGGAGCATATAAGGATGGAGCACAGCCTGTGCGAAAAGGACTTGGAAGTAAGGGACATGAGTCAGCAGCATGCCGTCACGGCCCAGAAAGCCAACTGAAAGCTGCATCAAACGGAGTATGGTCAGCAGGGAGAGAGAGGTGATCCTGCCCCTCTGAGAGTGGCCTTTCAGAATCTAACAGGGGGCTGTAAGAAGGGGACAGACTTTTTAGCAGGGTAGTGGCACTGGGGCAGGTTGCCCAGAGCGGTGGTGGTTGCCCCATCGCTGGAGACACTCAAGCTTCAGGATGGGGATGGTCTGAGCAACTTGTAGTTGTCCCTGTTCATTGCAGGGGATTTGGACTGGGTGGCCTTTAAAGGTTCCTTCCAACTCAAATTAATCTGATTTTATTAGAAAAGCTATTTTGTGTGCAGTGCTTTCTGATAGCATGCTTTGTTTTCCCTGGTAGTAAAGCCAAAAGAAGCACTCTTTTGTTAGTGTCATTTTAAGCTCCTCAATTACAAGCAAACCTCACATTCTTATCCACTGTAAGTTACCCTGATTACAGATTTCTTACACATACTGCACAGAATTTGAGCCTCTTCTGAGAAGTGGGCAGCAACAATTGGAGCTGCTATTTCTCCTCTGATAAAAAAAAAATGATTCACTGTTCCAGATTGTGAGAAGAGAGAACAGTGGTATTATTGTGACTATAGCTCATCATAACACGATTTATACGAGTGCTGCTTGAAAGTAACGCCTCCTATTTTATTATGTTGGCCCATGATGTCAGAGCAGATGTTGGTGGTATGGCAGTAGAAGTTGTACCTTCCCACCAGCATTCCATTACATTTTGTTGCTTTGAGACAGAAGGGCAATCAGAAAAAATGGCATCTAGTGGAAGCAAAGGTGTGTCACTGAATTCCTCCATGTGGAAAAAATGGCACACAGTGACATTCACTCATCTTTGCTGAATGTTTATGGAGACCAAACAGCGGATGTGACCACTGTGATGAGGTGAGTGCTGTTTCAGCAGAGGCAACAGTGATGTGGAAGACCAGCCACGTTCCAAATGGCCAAATGCAGATTTTTGTGAGCATGGCACACAGGCTCTTGTTTATCACTGGCAGAACTCTATTGCATATGCTTATGTTGAAAAATGGTGTTTTGTATCTGAGAATTTGCTCTAACAAGTAGTGTTATTGTGCTCTTCGTATCTGCTGCAGTTTCCATGGAAATAAATAGGAAGCAGTACTTTAATACATATTATATTTAGTACAACCAGCAGCTATCAGGTCTCCATTTAATGAAACACAGAAGACCTGCAGTCTCAGTCACCCAAGTCCAGGACACTGACAAGCAATTCATTCAGCTGCATTCTCTCTAACTTACAACCACAGCTGTGGGTCAAAGTCTTCAAACTGAATGTTTTTGCTGCAGCAGTGCTCACCCTCCAACTGTAAGGATACTGTAAAGATAGGGCCTTTCCTCTCAGAGAAGTACAGAATTCCTCATGTATTGGGAAACTCTGAAGTCCTCTTACCTACAAGTTCAGGGGAATAAAACAAACAAGTTTATACCTCCTTAAACAGTTGGTGGCGAGTCCGGGCTGCGGCTCTGAACCCCCCAACCCGAAGCGGACAGAACACACAAGCTACAAGACAGCTTCAGAGCCGAGGGCGTTTATTCGGCGCCGAGCAGCGGGCGGCACGGGGCGGCCTCAGCCCTTCCCCCCCGGCTGCCGGGGCAGCCTGAAGCCCACCAGCCCCGCCACCTCCTCGGGGGATCGCTCCCCGCGGCCGTGGTACTCTCGATGCAGGGCCTGGTGCTGCCGCACGCTGCGCAGCAAGCACAGGTAGGTGGCGGCCTGGAAGTGCAGCTCCTGCTGGGCCCGGCACAGCTTCTCACTGGTCACCTGCGGGGAGAAGCAGCAGAGGCCCGGAGATGGCAGCGGGAAAAGGGCGGCAGGGGAAGGGCCCGGAGGCCTCCTCTCTGCCTACACCGTACCCGGTGAGCGCGGAAGGCGGCGAGGACGTGTCGGTAGGCGGCCGTGTCGCGATAGGCGCGCCCGCTCACATGCCGTAGCTCGCGGAGCAGCCCGCGCAACGTCCGCAGCGGAGAGCCCAGCGCCGCCATCTTCCCGCTCCTCTCCCTTCGCCAATCAGGCACCCGCGACGCGCCGCATCGACCAATCAGAGAGCGGGCGGCTCGCGCAGTTTTCTGCCCGTCAGCAGAGGTCAGATGCCGAAGGTCGAGAGCCCCCGTCTGCCGTTGGGCGGAGCGACGCGCGCTCACGGGGTTGAGGGGCGCCGGAACCATAGCAGCCGGCGCCAACCCGCTGCGTCACCAGGTTGGTTGTCGAAGCGCGTGGTGTGAGCGCTGCTAATGAAAGCGGCTCAGCCGCAGATGGTGGGCACCCACCTTGTCCAGGGGCTTACATTACAGCAGGGTTGCGAAAGCCGCATTCAGGTTGTTATGAGAATAGCTCCCACCCACCACCTGTTCAGCGTCGAGGCGCCCCACTGCGACCAGGCGTCAGAAAACGGAGAGCAATGCTACAGCCAGAGGTGAAGGAGAGAAAAAAAAAAAAATACCACCCCAGATGGGACTCGAACCCACAATCCCTGGCTTAGGAGGCCAATGCCTTATCCATTAGGCCACTGGGGCTGCCACGAGAACGCACTTTTTCTGGTGCCTACTTGTTTCCTCTCTCCTCCCCTCTTCCTTTTATAGATACTATCTGACGGGCGCTGATTGGCCAGCACCGATCCGTCCCACCTCCCTGCCACGAAGCCTTCTGGGAGCCGTTCGGCCTTCATTCGCCCGCGGCGCTGGAACGCGGCCCGGCAGCGGTTCTGAGGTGCTGCCGGCCTCCCGGACGTCCTTTCCCTCTGTGGCTCAACAACTGCTCCCCGCTCGAATTCATAACAAAGGAAAATCCCATAATAAGCCCAGACCAACGGCCTTTTACGTGGTGCACTTTTCATCTTTTATTTTGTGAGAAATCACAGAGACAGGGCTCATATGTACATTCCTCTTTATTTAATACAGCACAGACACGTAACAGATAAAAAAGAAAACACTCATGAAAAAGCCTGTCGCCATCAAGGACAGGGCACAGCTACACCCAACTGCGTAAGGCTCCTACTGCAGAACAGGGCCTGCTGCCTAAACATGGAGCCCAGAGCAAAACTGCTGCCAAAAAGTCTTCTGCTTTCAGGAAAGCAGAATGGAGAAGGAAAAAAAAAAAAAAAAAAAAAAAAAAAAAAAAAAAAAAAGAGGGAAAATCCTTCCAGGAATGGGTGAAGCAGGTGGCACCTGCAAGGCTTCTTGTAGGACACAAACACTGCTACCTGTTTGGACCAAAGCACTAAGAGAAGCAATGCTCTGCAGCTCTTCTTGCAGAAGCCCAAGCCCAATAACACAGTAATAACCAATAACCCTGACTTCTGAAAATGCCACCTGTCTCAGGGATGGAAACCTGAGCATCTGAAAAGACTGAAAACACAGAGTAGTCACAAGAGATTTAATTAGTCTCCCTGATAGGGCTTTGCCCGTCACAGCTGGGAATGTGCAAGAGAACAAACCGGCTTCCCAATCAAAAAAACTAATAGTCACTGAACTGACCAGAACTGTACACGTTTGAAAACGATGCAGGCTTTTGTGGCAGCAGCTTCTTCCTTCTCCCTCTTCAGTTCAGGATGGAAATAAAGCAGGCACCAGTTCCTCTGGCAAAGAGCCTTACACATTTTTAGAAAATCAAAATACAAAAAAGGGAGACAGGTGTATTTACAAAATCCATGGCTGGTACAGTACATCATTTTTAAGACACACTAAATGCTACAATCTTTCAGGTCCTGAGATTATTACCAAAAAAAAAAAAAAAAAAAAAAAAAAAAAGCAACAACTCAAAACTTGTGTTCAGGTCCAGTTTTATAAGGAGAGAGGAAGGAAATCACACATTTAAAATACAGTATTCCTTGACGTTAGTGGAACACACCTCTCTAAAAATCCAAAAGAAAGTGGTGCTAATCACCCAGCCGTAGCTGCGTTTGGTTGTTCAGGCTTGCGGTCACAAGAGGGGAGCATTTCACAGGGGAGTTTCTCTGGAGAGCAAGCCAGGTAAGCACCTGGCTGTGAGGATTCTCTGATACTAAGCCTGACGATCTGAAACAGGCAAGTATTAAAAAGCAGGAAGGTGATCCGAAGCAAATTCACACTAAACTGAGTAGAACATCACAGGAATCACCAATTCAAAGAGGTCTACCATCTTGCACCACTTTGCTTAGGGCAGAGGCCTACGAAGAATGCCAGTTTTGTTTGTAAGACAAGTGACCAACTGTTTCAAGCTACACCAAGAAAGGCAGGAAAATGCTTTGCCCACCATTTTCTCTGCTGTTGACTTCACATAGCTTCCTTCATTCACCCGGGGATCAGCAAGTCAGGTGGGGTTAAGCTGATTATATTTAAACTTGCTAAAAGTACATATCCTACATGTGACAACAAAGAGTAGAGGCTAAACTTCTGTCAGTGGGATGACCCTGCTGCCACTAGCTGGGTAGGCAGGGATTTATTTGAAAGCTCTGCTCCTGATTCAGCCTCATCACCAGGCAGAACTGCAGGGACTTGCATCCACACCTGTATCTTCAATGAAATAGTCTGAACATCGTGCTTTTATATCACCAGAAGTTATAACCACAGATGCCCTTTTATTATAAGCAACCTGACTTTAAGCTAGAAAATACCAACATTTTTAGGGATTACTCATGAAATGCTTTTAACCCTCAGTAAGAAGACTACAAAAGACAAATCACAGAACAAGGGTACTAATTTAACAGCTAAAATATAACTGCTCAGTAGACTTTTTGGAGAAAATAGCAGTAATGAATTTCGTATTTTTTTTTTTTAAATAGTAGTCCAAAAATAGTATTTCTCCATCTATTTTCAACAGAGATCTTGAGAACTATGCAAGAACATGGTACTAATTGCTACATGATGGAATTACCAGTCATAATACACACACTACAGTTCTCACCTCTGAGCTAAACTGTTATTTGTAGTTACAAACAAGACTAAAAGATCAGTCAGGAATAGCGGGGGAACCACAATTTTGCTTTTATTTGAAGATCCAGCTACTGTGTAGCTCATACCTGCCCTTGTTTAGAAACAACTTCATTTAACTGAGAAACTGATTTAATTCACTTCTGATAGTGGAAGGAAACACAGGATCTCATTATCTTCTCCCCGTATCCAATTTGCACATTAATAAACAACATCACTACGGCTTCTTAATACCAATTTTGAGAGCTGACGACTCCAGAAGCTCTCAGACTGAAACCTGTCACAAGAGGTGAATTTAGATTCCCTCATGAAGCAACTTCATGAGACTTGACAGTAGGTGTTGCACCAGCAAGAGGGTTTCTTTTTTAATATACAAATTTCTTTCTTCACTTTAACAAAAGGAGTTCTAAAGACATTCAAAAAATATTCCATTTTCTTTGGGTAAAACTTGAACAAATGTTAACAGGGTATCTGGGGGAAGGAACGCACGTAACACTTAAATATGTAATGAATACTTATCTGCATAGTTGATATTAGTGACTACTAATCAAACTAAGGCCTTATCTGGAGAAAGTTGAGAACACAAGAATGTTTCTTCTCCCACCTCCTACTCCACCGGTGAAATCTAAGAAGTCTTAGAGGAGCTCTGGCTGTGTCAGCAGCTGCTTGGCCTGGTCTGCAGCAGTGTTATCTCCCAACTGGTTTGGGTCAATTCTCTCACCTTTTTCTCTCGATAGTGGACAGTAACAAAATGTAATTGTACCTGTTCCTAGAATATATTTGCATATCCTGGAGCATGATAGGAGTTAGTGTGCACTGCTTGTTTTGGATTACTTCACTATGAAGAAAACCTTGTTAGTTAATGGTTATTATATTCGCAGGAGCTGAGGGCAAGGGGAGAGGCTGAAATTCACTTCTAGATACAAAACACAAAAATGTCATTCTTCTAGAGTTGCTCTGTAGAACTATAGCTGTCAAAAAAATGGCTACAAAATAACAGAACTATGTCCTTGACTACTGACAAGATTAGCGCAGTATCATCTACAAGGAGTGTGCAAAAAAAATGGCCCTAGGGAACCTTTGTGCTTCCCCAGTTTTGCCATGCTGAGATCTCTCAGCGTAACACAGCAGCAGTGGGGCTTCCCACAGCCCCCAAAGGCTATTACAGCAGCAGGGTTATCACTGGGTCACAGAATACGGGAATGAAGCCACACCAGAAGTTTCCACAGCCAGGGCACTCCCCAATGCAATGGTAATCTTTCATGTTGCCAAGTCAGCCTACTTACTTAGGCAGTGATTTCTAGAGTAGCAGACACTGATTTCTGAACAGCCACGTGTGAAAAGCACTGCAACTAGCAGCACCAGCTGTGGATACCTGATCTCCCAATCAGCCTAGGATGAAGAGCAGACATGCCTGAAAGGAACTAACAGCAGAAGAGACAAGTAGGAGCAATTCACTGCCATGGGTGGATTTGGCCAACTACTGAAGTTGCTCTCAGCAGCTTACATAAGGCAGATAAGGAAGCACTCTAACTCCATCTGAACAAGCTACCAGCAATAGCATTCTTTCCGACTGGCACCATTAGACTGGTAGAGATTAAAAAAAAACAAAACCACAACAACAGGAAAACAAACAAAAAGCTATGCCTTGTTTAAGCAGGTTCACTTGAACGCGATATAGCAGTTAGGCTGTTTTCAGCCACAGGAACATGTTGTATTTGATATCCTAATTTTAACTCTCTAGATGGGCTGTCAACCTCAGTATGAAGGACTCTTCTAGCCATTCTCACTCTGGTTTTTCTGAAAAGAGAAGGTAAACAGACCCTTTTCATACTGCAACTCAAAACTGTATCTTCCCCAGTGGAAACACATCACAGAACTAGCAGTCTGGTGATGCTTGTGTAAGTCTAGCACTTGATCAACAAATGAATTGCTAATTTCAGGTACACGTTTGCAACAGTAGTAAGTTACATGTATCCTCAGCACAGAATTATTAAAATTACTAGAAGTTCTACTACAGATTGCTAATTTTGTCAGAGACAAGGAAACAAGCAGACACTGTTTTTAGTGTTCTGCGCCTAACAACACATGATCTTATTATTTGTTATTTTAAGAGAACAAATGAAATCTCAGCAAGAAAAATTACAAGACAAGTACTTGATGTGAATGATTTAGGCAAGCTTGCAAAGTACAGTCAAGTTAAACTTCAGAGTAGTTGCACTCCTGCATGTTGTAACAAGTTCCTTCTTACACATAACACATGGTAGGAAGGGACAGTTTTAGTAAATGTAAGAATCCTTGCACAATCCAGTGTCAAAAGACATGACAAGCTGTACACAGGATTCCTTGCGATTCATCTCCACTAAAACTTGTTGAAAGCTATTTTAACCTTCTTTCCCCACTCCTTACAGTTATGTTAGCCACACATTTGCTTCGAATTCAGTAATAGTGTGAAGTGGTCCAGTATTTAAAGTCGTCTGTTGTATTTGTGAACTAAATAAGACCCAAACTTAAAACCTTCAGAGAAAAATGCAAGAAGTTCCATTCCCATTGGCCGCTTCTTCCTTTCTCTCACACACGTTTACACACTCACACACACCCCCCTTTACTGCACTGCCACCTTTGCCCAAGTGTTCATTCTTTGTATGCAAACATTAACAGAGACAGCAGAACAGCGTACTGTGCGTGACAGGAGCCTAAGGAAAACTGCTGTGTGTGAGTGTGTGCAGGTGTGAGAGAAAAGAAAGGACAAACATACAGAACCAACGCCATGGTACAGCAGCTATGAGTCACATACATTACATACTTTTTTCTTTTTTTCTTTTTCTGTTCTTTTTTTTTTTTTTTTTTTTTTTTTTTTTTTTTACAAAAGGGAAAAATAGTATAACAGCATAAAGCCACCTTGGCAAGCTTAAGATTTTCCTCCAAAATGCCTTCCAGCACTTCAGGATCTCTGAGAACAGTTTAAAGACGGTAGGGAAATAAAATAAAAAAAGGCACTTAAACAAAGGACAAAGGCCTGAATCAAGTAAGTCATGGAGGGTAACAGCCATTTCACCAGAGCTCGGGCCAATCAAAAAAGCTACCAACTTAAATTTTTCTCAAAATCAAAATTGCATAAAGTGTTAATTAAGTCATTTACCTACTGCTTTTACTTTCTGCATCATTTTCTGAAACAAAAAGCCAGTGTCCCTTTAGTGACTTCCCCCCAGTTCAGCAAAAGATGAAAGTTAGGTGTGGGAGGAATCCCTCCACGGCTTGGCCTAACAGCAGGCTTTCCTGCAATGCCATCTGCCAAAAAAAAAAACCACACAAACAAAAACCCACAAAAAAACAACCTCCAGAACAAAAACAGGAGAGGGACTACTGTGCCTTTAACAATTCACTCAAAAACAACAACAACAAAACCAAACAAAAACCACAACAACCACCCACTAAAAACCAACACAAAAACAACCACAACCCAAACACCCCAACACCTCTAATCCATTTGTGGGCAAAAACTACTCAAAAGAAAACAAACTGTAAACTAGATTAAATTTTGCTAATAAATACAGCCAAAAAGTTCATTTTATGAATGTAGCAGCAAATGTGATAAGGTTAGTTGGGGTCCAAGACGACTCCAAGAGGGTTAATGGTTCACACAACTGTTGTCAGACTGGGAGATTGCAGGATTTCTCTGTTTTCATGTCCTCAAGGATCTTGCACCGAGTGGAGAAGGAGTGTGGAGGAAGGGTCAGGTAATGGGACTGAGGGACTGAAACAGGCTCTTGGCACCTGTCCCACCCCCAGATCTGTGCATCAGACAACTCTGATTGGATTCAAACAAGAAGCAGAACCCAGGCAATTAAAAGTTACTTCTGATTAGCAGAAAACAGATGTGAAACCCACAGCATCCACACTTGTGACTTATTAATTCAGTATTAGTCATGTCTTGCATCAACTGACAAGGCTGGACAAAGTGATTTAGGCCGTTAGCATCTTGGAGCGAGAGAATACCGCAGTAATAGTCCAAGGTATCAGAAATTCTGCTGCCCATTTTTCGTCTAGCCTGCCACCTTCTTTCTTACTATGCAAATGTCTCAAAAGGATTTAAAATAGCTACCGTGGCTTTTGGGACTTTGGATCATGTTGCAGAAAACATTACCTGGAGGGTTTTAACATCTAAAACCTGTGTTTGAAATTATTGCTTGCATTTGTTTGGGGCTTTCAGTGAGCTTGACGTGGTAGCTCATGTACAGACCCCAAACCGAGTTCAGCCCTGCTGCTTGGAAAAGACAGCTCTACTTGGCTTTCTTATTGCTTGTGAATACTGAGGGTTATTTAGTAAGTACAACTACAGTGTATTTATTACCAAAGGCCCTTAAAAAGGAGTAAAAATCTGGGGGTAAATGACCTTAGGAGAGCTGCTGTGCAGAAAATAGTAAAACATCAAATTAATTTTGCATTTGGACATTGCAGAAATTTTTCACTTCCCCATCCTGTTTGTGCAACCTGCAAAGGTCATTCAGAACCGCTCTGTTATTTCCTTTAATTTGGCCTTGCTTGGCTTAACACAGAAGAATAGGGAAAAGGCAATGCAGATCCTTTCCATCACTATGCTGCTGACCCCAAGCAGCTCAGGAATATAACAACTGAAAACAGCTAGCCTCCAGTGGACTGTCTGAACTTGCTTCAGGAAGAACATATGGTCATCTTCATGCTTGCCACCTTCCTACCTATTTTCACCAGTTCGCTCATTCCTCAAGACTCAATAGGCCACACAGACAGGGTCACTTCCTAGCCTCAAGATTGGAGTAGATACCCCTCAACTGAAGGTGAGGCATACTTCCAGGAAGAGAGGGATGTTGAAAGGAAATTTGTGCTGTTATTATAAGTCTCCCAGTCGAAAATTTCATGAAGCAACTATGAAGACAAAAGATGCCAATTTGAATGAGATGCCTTGATGAAGAAAACACAGAAGAGGTAGAACTCTTAGGACAGGGTTGTTTGGTTGTTTTTTTTGTTTGTTTGGTTAGTTTTTTGGTTTTTAGTGTGGTTTGTTGCTGTGATGGTGTTTTATTTGTTTTTAATATATTGCTGCTTGATGGCTCACTGCTGCAACTCCCTTAGCTACTTGCATTATGAAAAATGTATCAGGTTTGACAGAATTCAGAGAATTAACATTGTTAGGCTTCCAAAAACTTCTCTTCCTTCAACCCTTCCTGGAGAAGAGAAAGAAAATCAGATAAAGTTGTACTCTAGATAGCTTGTGGGATTTAACGTTCAACAGAATACGCACATTATTAGGAATGCAAGAGTCTATGTAGCTGTATGTTTCAACTCTAAATAACCCTGACTGAGATGCAAGCTCATCTAATCAACATGCCACATACAAAACATCAACATTAGCTAAAAAGCATCTAATTGGCTGACGCTACTGAGTGAAATTCAAGAACTAATGTATCTTATTTTAATTCAATGTGTCTTTCACAGAAGTGTTGTGCAAAAACATTTATTGCTGAGCTCAACCCAACATTTTTATACTAAATACACAATATATATTATTTTAGATTCATGTATATATATATTTTTATATAAAATTAAAATGAGCTCTAAATAGAAAAGAAATTGTTCTCTGGTCTAAGAAAAATAAGTCACATGTACAAGTAACCTGAAAGCTATAAGTTAATCTAGCAAAAAACACTGAAGATTCCTTATCTGTGAGTCAAAGTATCTCTGGAAGGTGAGACAACCTGTAGTCACTGGCTCAAACTCACCTCAAACTACTGGAAAGACTAGGTATTAAGAATTTCAGCATCTCTGATCAAAGGAATGTTTCAGGGTTGAAGGAGAAGGACATAATGCCATTTTAGATGCTTCTTTCTTATTATGGTTTATTTTAGTTTCTGCTATTCTCACCTTTCATCTGACAGCACAAGGGACTCAACAGCATAAGTCTGTTCTAGTGGCAAAAGTGCAACATGTGCTGGATACCTCCTAACCTTACAAATGAACCAGTCCATGTATTGCTATTAAAGAAAAAAAAAAAAAGCCAGCTTTGCCGTCTTGTGCTACCATGTAAGGAAGAGTTCAGGTTGGAAACTTCAGGCCAGCAGGGGCTAGAAATGCTGGAGGCAACCCAATCAGCCCCCGGAAGAGAAGGCACCTCTGGTCGCTCTTGAACGACTCCTCTTTGGCTAATGCCTGAAGCAATATCAACCTGGCTCTGGAGTAAGTCACATTCCGCTTTCCTTTACCAGCAAATCATGATAATGCATGGCTTTTGGGAGCAGTTGCACAAAAGATGAGAAAGATTTAAAATGGGTAAAGAACTTACCATGTTTCATAAGAGATGCGATAGAACACTACTTAATTTTAGTAGGATAAACAAAAGGGAAAGGAAAAGTTTAACAGAGAGACAGAAAAAAAAATAATCATAGAATGCCTTTAAAAAAAAACAGATGTAGGAAAGAAACGCTAGCCTGACCAATAATATGTGGCTTTTCCTTTTCTGTAAGATGAAAAATTTCCAAACATCTTTCCTCCCTTGAGTAAGAATTATTATGTTAAAAAAAGAAAAAAAAAAAAAGCAAGGATCAAATGGTTTCCTAGTAGTCTCTCACATCTCATGTACCAGGAGATCTGTTTTTGAAGACAGCTCCTTGGGATTAATGTAGGCTCTCTATAGCCAAACAACCTTGTAAAGCTGGAAGAATGCCCACATCAGAACCTGCATTTCTGTAAGTTTTTAAATACAATGCAAAGTATCCCAGCACCACCTCTACTCTACACAACCTTTGGCCCAAAGCCATATGGTACACTCAGGACCTACATATAGTCTTATACCGGGCACTTCAGGAACTAATAAAGTAGATGACTTCACCTCATGCAATAGATGGAGAAACCTATTCTAGCTCCTCTCATTATTTTAACTCTTTATTGAAGATTACCCAGAAAAAAAAAAATGTTTGTGCTGCTGTGGGTTTGACAATCAATTTCTTTTAAAAGCCAATCAGAACAATGAAAAAAAGTTTGTTTCTTTAGGCGAGATCAAACTATGACCAGTCTGCATGACCAGGAGGAGGACCAGTCCTCCCTTTTTCCTTCTCTCTTTGATCAAGTATTGTTTTCTTTTTCTTCTTCCTCTCACCACAGTGCTTGGGATCAGAATATGTAAACATCGACAGAAACAGCAGCCCTGTGACAAATAAGCACTTCCCCAACTGGGCAGATTCTGTCAGCCAACCAGAACTGCTTCAGCTCCCTTGCTTGTCCAGAAGTCACTGGTTTTTCCGCTGTAACTTAGTGTCCCCTTTACTTTGGCCTCCATCTGTAGTTTGAAAGACAGGAAAAGAAGTGAAAGAATAAAAGCATGAACAAAATTTACAACTTACAACATATTTGGAATATTCATCTTTAACATCACCAAAAAGTGTATTCTTTATAGTGTAGAAGACTTCACATATTTTCTATAGATCTTTTATTATTTTGGTTTAAATAGCACTGTTGAAACCCAAGACATCAAGCTATATACCTAAAGATACCACTTCACTAAAGGTAAGTTGCAGCTCTGAATAACACACACACACAAAAAAAACAAAAATAAACCAAGAAAAATCAAGCTTTTCTTTACTTTCTAAGAATTGTAGGTCACTCCAAAGCCCTTGTGGTGACAGGAAAATTGAAGTTCGTACAACATACAGGTGATTGGTCTATTTTCAGAGCCCTGACACAACACTGCCCAGTTTCTGGAGCCAAGTACTCCAAAAAACAGGATGATGAATCCACAGAGACACTGGTACCTTTCATGTTCCCCTTCCTGGCTCAAAAAAAAATAATCCCTACTAATGCACCACTGAGACCTTTCAGCAGTAGGCTTGACAAGCATAAAAAAATATTCTACTTCAACCTTCTCCTCTCAAAACATGTAGCTTTATTATCAATGTTAAAATTCCAAGGGAAGATTAGTGTTCCATTAGGAATGTATCACACTGTTCACACGTGCACACGAACTGCAAGAAACATCAAAAAGATTCTAAGCGTGAAGGTCAGTTTGTCCTCCAAAGGAGAAATTAAGAAGCAGTGGAAAAAACAATCTCCTTCCAGTGTAGACAACACAGACTGTAAACAATCATGAGAACACCCAGTAAGTAACAGCTTTTTCTACTGGTGAAATTTGGAGGCTTACGTTTCTACAACTGCTATAATAAAGTATTATTGATATTTTTGAGGTGTTTTTTTTTTTTTTTGTTCCTGGCATTGAACATAAACAGAAGAAAACCTGCTCCATTTCTAAAACTATTGCTGTAACAGAAAGTGCACTACCTGCTGCTACCAAAGCTTGTTCTTTTTCCTGTCTTCTCTAAACCAATTTTAAGTAGTGTACATTTTATTTCAATCTAGAGCAGAAATATAACTTGTTTTTTTAAGTTATAAAAAGTAGTAAGAGAAATATTATCTTTACCTGTGTAAGCTTGCTGCAAGTGAGCAGGCAGAGGTGAGTGAGATAACGTTGCTGCGTGCTGAGCACCTGGCTGTAAACCCTTCAGTAAGTCTGAGAAAAAAAAAAACAAGGAGAAAAGCAAGGATGAAAAATAACAGACCAAGTTTGCATTTGAAACAGAAATTAATGTAGTAGTGTGCTAATTTGCATAGATTTCTGAAGACATCTCAACAACAAATATAAATACATATTAGTATTCTAATATATAGAAATATATAAAGCCAATAAAACATACCTGTTCACAACTAATTAATGAAAGTCAGAGCAAGGCTCATGCCTCACTACTGGGATGCAATTCTTCATACTATTTCCTTTGGCACAAAGGCCAAAATTGATACAGATTAAAAGCTTAAATAATTTCTCTTAAGCAATCAGAAATAGTAAATCCTATCTTAGTTCATGTTTCTTGTAAGAAAGTGGTTTGGCACCAGAGGGTCTAAGCTAAGGATACTTCAATGAATCATTACTTCAGGTCTCATGTTTGTATTGTGAAGTAAAGAGAATATTAAGGCATTTCTTTCTAAAGACAAGAAAACAAGTTAACTCAAAAACGCATGATAAAAAACAACTATACTAAAACAGTGAAGTTATTATTACCTATCAAATGTGATTCATAACATTTGGATAATCACATAAAAAAGTTTTACCAGAGAAGAAATCACATTTCTTCTCTTGTACTCATTACCTCAGAACTACAGCACTTCCCTTCTTAACTTCTGTTTTCAGGATGCCTCTTTCCATACAGCAGTGTGATAAGGAATTTCACTCACTTTGAGTTAGGCTGTGGTGGAAAGCCGCTGAGGTAGATCCCGAGGTGGTTGTCACTCCAGCTGTGTCCGTCCCAAAGCCAAGCAGCTCCAAGGGAAACTGGAAGGGCACAGTCACAGGAACAAGGCCACCCAGCATCCCAAAAGGAGTTAATGGTGCAGATGTCACGTTCTGACTGGTTACAGACAGGGGTGATGCCATGAGAGTCAGAGGTGAGGCGTTAGCCAGTAATGATGCTCCTGCTGTTGACTGTACAAAGAAAAGTAGTACTTCAACATTCAGAAGCTTTGAGTTGTGCCCTCTAGGGAGATAAAAACTGCTTACTGCTAAGTGTGCTCTGGTTAAAAAGGACATTAAGCTATTAACAGATATCCCCTTAGCCATGTAGGAGCAATTCCCACTGTTCACCTACTAAACAAGCACAAACATATGTCAGATTTACACATGCAAGATTCACCTCTTGTTTTTCTTGCCAGCTTTGCAGATGATTTCCTTTAAATTATCACACGTCTGAAGATCTTTAGAAGCACATTATTCCTCTCTCCTTTCCAAATACAGGCCTTAACACAATGCTAACTATATTTCTAAAGAGACTAATTCAAAGCAAGAATTTCTGAAAACTCAAATCCATACTTAAGAGCCACCACACTTCAAGAGAAGTCAGGTTACCAGGATGCAGATATATATATACATACAAATATATACATATAAATGTTTATACACAAACACACAAGTGCATAGAGGCAAAAGCAAGAGGCAAGAAATGAAAACTCTCTCCACCCCACATATGTCACAAGTTAAATTCACTTCAGTTTAAAAATGAAAATGCATGATTAACCAGAATATTTTAGATACAACTATTCCGAAATTACATTAATTCCTCTGAATTTAGAAACTGTTTGGTTTGTTCTTACTTAACAATCTTTCATTCACTAAACTTACAATAATTTCACAAAGTAATGTTCAGTTCTCAAATTAGCTATTAAAAAACAGTAAGTACAGAGAGAAGCATTTTGAATTAGACTCAAACTCACATATTTAGATGTTTGAGCTATCAAGATTCAGAGACTGAACAAGGCTCAAAATTTGTGCATTTGGACACGTATGTCTTAACTAAACCCAAAACTTTTTTCCCTAGGTTGTGCAATATCAACTTACATCAATAGCAAAGTGATGAAAAGTACTAAAAGAGAAACACTTTCAATTACCATTTGGTCTTAAGATGTTTACATGAAACCTGCTAAAGAAAGGTTAGTGCTGCTTGAGACAACATTTTAAAATCGTATCCTTGTGAAAGCAAGCAAATACAAAGCAGACTCTGATAAGAAATGTTTCTATTGGTTATGTTAGGAGTGACAGCTGCTAAGACTTCATTTCACAAGTAGAAAACCGTGGATGAAAACACTGTAAGAACATACATGTTTGGTCACTTTAGATGTATTAATTTCACACTAAGCCCGTGTACAACAAAATGGCAACTGTTCACTATGTAGTCTTCACTGTTCAACAAAATAAAAGCCATGCAGCAATCTCTTACAGTTCTGCTTTTGTAAAAAACCTCAAACCAGAAAGGAGCTTTTTAGCATGTTCTGTCAAGAACCTGATTACTTGAGGGAAAGTACTCACAGAGAGTGCTATAAAGGAGCTGCAGTTAAAGTGCCATCTCAACTATGTTAGCATCTCGGTCATGTAAATTCAAGTCAGTAATACCCTTAGAAATCTAAGCAGTATTCTGCTCAAGTGTATGAATGATAGGTAGAGCTTCAGGAAATAAGATAATTGCTCAATTTCACATTATTTTGTCTTTATGTTCTCAAAATACAACATAACATACTTTGTTAAAATTTTGAGGAGCTACAGCAGGTGCAAGTTTATATCCAAGTTAGCAACTGTACCAATCAAGTGGGAAAGAAGGGAAATGCTTGTTGGAAACTCTTCTTAGTTACAAACACCTTTTTGCCATCACATGAAATCATATTAGTTTGATCATCCATGCAAGTAGACCAGGGTATTCTAAAAAGCAACTTCTGTACTATCCTCATCTGACAGATCAGTAGCATCTGATTTAAACAGGAATGAAATACCTAAACATTTAATGGAAATTCACTTTCAGTCTTTTGCAATGTGTTAAGAAGGGTAACTAAGTTCTTACTACATATTACCCAGCAAGTCTTTAAGGCCAAACAAGTCCTATTATCACAAATCTTTCTTCCTTCAGTGTACTTTGAGTGGGTAGTTATTTGATTATCATCTTCTCTTGAATATACTGCACTGACTGAGCCTCAGTCTGCACCGAAGGAACCCTTAGTGAATGTTTTATCCTCCTCTGGAGAACTCTCTCGAAGTTTTTTACATTACCAAAGTACCCTCTAACGTGTCAAGAAAAAAACAAAACAAAACATGTGAAGTCACAATTATTAACTTTGTAATGCCATATGTAATTCACTTCCTCTAGCTGATTTCCTCCTTCTATATGCCAGAACACTTTATTTTATTGTATTACAGTATGTACTCATGTTGATTATCCACCACATTCCCAGCAGCCTCTCTCTTCAACATCACTGTCTGCCAAGATGCATTTTTCGTTATCCAAGTCATCAATGTCTCTATAAAAATAACGATTTGCCTAAAACTGCACAAGGTTTGCAGAAACTGATCTCATAATTCACATAATATTACTCATTTCTTACGTCCATCAACTTTAAGAACGACTACAACCATTCCGCAATTTCTTCCACACCACAACAACTGAATCTAGTGGATATTGTGGATTCCACCAAAAAAAATCATCCCCAGACCATACAATACAGCCTTGTTTGTGTCCAGGCACTTTCTAGAGTACCTAAATTGCACCACATTTAAGCTTGGCTCTTCTCTAAACTGCTTGTGGTACCTCTGTGGACCTTATACAGGGCATGTATGGCTGGGTTTTCTTTTTTTCCCCTCCATTCAGAGTACCCAAAAATAAGGAGAAGGCTGTATCAGAATCTGTCAAACACCCCATTTGCTCCAAGGTATGGCAGGGTAAAAGATCACAGAAATACCTCATAAAAATAATTTTCTTCTTTTTCAGCTGCATTAAGAAAAAATAACGAGCTAAAAGATTATTATAAAGCATTGTGAAAACCTGAGTACGTACCACTGCCATGCAATAGCTATGTACATCATTCAGAAAAATGCATCATTTTTCTAGCTTGCTATAGACTAAGACTTTAATTTACATTGATATCATCTTTCTCAACTGAAGTTGCATAGACTTCACAATACAGAGAGCACTATAAAAAGAGGAATACTTCAAATCATCTCAGTAATTAAATTACTCCCAGTAAGAAGAATGCATAAAGTAGGTTGTTTTCTGGGCAAATAATATGTTTGCATGGGTTTTAGAAGATTGTATTTTCAAAACATTCATATTATACTCCTCCTTTTTTTAATCTCCAGTGTAGAAGTTTTGCACAAGTTCTCTCAGGTCTTTTCTATTATCCTTACATATAGATAAACCTCTAGTTCAGTTTGATTAGATCCTACAAAGTAAAATACATATTTAATAATCACAAATGCTTAAAAAGGTTCTACATTGTTAAATACATGCCTTGCATTATAGTCTAACCACAAACAACTGAATGCCAGCTTTGTAAACCAATCACAAGGCTTGTCTAAGAAGACTTTTATAAGCATTCTTTACAGGTAAGTAGGCAACAATACAGAAATTCAATAATGCAAGGCAATACTGCACACCCTGAAAATATGGCCATACAAAGCTCATCTTTTATATGGCTCTCTTAAAGAAAAATAAATTATTTCTTACTGCAGACCAACTGTTTTTTTACTGAGGATTCCTTCCATCCCATCCCTGAATTTTACATCAGTTGGAAATACCCATTCACTGTTGTGAAAATGCTTCATCCGTATTAGCATTTATACTTAGTGAAGTGTCAGCATTAAGTTTACGATTCATTTTCAAAACAAGATATTGTAAGAAAGAATGTTTACAACATGTGATAAATATTAATGTCAGATTTAAATGTAAACTCAGATGCATACCTGCACACTGGCTGCTACAACTGGAGACCCTGAGGCAGAAGATGGTCTGTGTGGAGTTGACAATTGTTTAGTAGCACCCTGTGTTCCACTTCCTGCTCCCCCAGACAGACTAGTCCTACTAGCTCCACTTGAGTTAAGGTTACTGCCTCTGCTGGCAGGTACATTCATTCCAACTCCACCCAAATTAGTTTTACCAACAGTTCCAGAAGGAGAAGAGTTGGGTAATTTTGAAGAAGCCTGAGGGTTCTTTGCAGGCTGAAGGCCTGAGGTGCGATTAGAGGGCAGCAAATTCATTGTGGGAGACTGCCTGCTGATATTTACACCACCGGTCTGTTTATGTAGGGGAGTGTTGCTGGAGTGACTACTCTGGGAAACTAGTGCACTTGAACTGGAAGAACTGGGTGTTGCTGCAGGCCTGGGGGATGAGGTGGACTTAGATGAAAACTTAGGGGATGCATTGGGCTTAGGTGTCACAGAGGGCTTTGATGCAGTGGGCTTGGGAGAGGCAGCAGGTTTGGGAGAGGCAGCCATGGAGAAGGGAGGCTTGAAACCCTGGGAAGAAACCTGCGACACCATAGCCTTGGCTAAATAGTTACTAGAGGTAGAGGTGCTGGATGTTGTCCGAGAAACCAGTGGGTGAGATACTTGAGAGCCACTTCCAGATGAGGGATTAGACAAAGGCAGGCGATACACTACAGACTTCTCTTGAGCTTTGATGACTGGCGATGAGCAAGACAGTTTGGGATTACTGCTCAACTTCACCACTGGATTGGTCTGTGATTTACTGATAGTTGCTTGTAAAGGAGATACGTATTTCTGCTGTACAGCTGAATGCTGGTGCACCTTTGTCATCTGTGATGTTGAAGAACCACCCTGAACTTCAGAAGATGATACCAAGATGTTAGCATCCTTGGGTCTTTGAGAGGTGGTAGAAATAGCTGCTTGGGTTTTAGAGGAAGAAACATGAGTCTGTGAAGAAGCAGCAGCAGCTTGGATCTGGCTTGACCTCTGTAGTCCTTGCTGAAGTAGCTTGGCTGGCAAAGGCTCTAAGGAAACTTTAGGATTTTGAATTGAAGATCCAGCAATAAGGCCTGAAGAGATACCAGTGTGAACTAAGTCCTGGGGTTTCTTTGGTACTGGCCCTGTGTGACCAGCAATAAGACTTGATGAGTGGGGTGTTTGAGGGGGCTCTACTTTCTTAGAAGTTGCCAAAGGCAACTTACTCATAATGCTTGCCAGTTTCTCTTCCCTCAGCCCAGGGCGAGGTCTAGATGTTGGTGTCTCTATAGCAGACCCAAGAGGAGATCCCTTGGCACCATTATTGATAACTGCAAGAGCATCAGAAATAGAGTCCAGCGAGGGCGGGTGGAAAGAAAGGTCTTCGTCCAGTGAGTCGTCCAAGCAGATAGTCTCTGGAGCTGGTGTGCAGCTAGAGCTGGATGGGGTGCAGACAGGTGCACCGGCACTCAATGCAGTAACACAACTTGAATTAACTGAAGATATACAGGTTTTCTGTTCTTTCTTTGGACTAGAGTCCTAAGAACAAAAACAAGAAAAGTTTAACAGCCTTTCTAGAGTAGATTCAAAGTCTTCTTTAGTTTAATACTATTATTCTATACATTCAGAGGAACCTAAAATCTACTACTGAAGTTTTCACATTAGGATATCTATGATATACTGATGCCTTGCGTGTGAATTTAATATTTGTATTTTAAAATCTCACACTGTTGCGTTACAAGGTTAAGAACAATCTATGCTGCAATGCTAATTTGATCACTGGGCAGAAATTGCTAGAACTTTAATAGAACTATTACTTTCTTCATAATCAATTTTCAAAAAGCTATATAGCTTAATATTATGAAGCTATGCAGATAATCTCTTGTATTTTATGGTTTAAAGCCCATATTACCAGCCAATAAGTTCTAACAGCATTTCCTTAAGGTAGGATTTTCTGATTGAACCCTTTTGATAGATTTTTTTCTGGATCAGAGGCAGAAAACTGGCTGTACCAAAAGGTCATATAGAAATCAGATATGTAAAAAGGCATTTACCTTCACTTTGGCTTTAGGTGCCAGAATCACTTTCTTCTTTGCCCTAAAGCAGAGGAAATAAACACACATCAGAAGACAGAAAGGCAAACAGTTTTAGTGCCACCCTGATTATATCCCAATAAACTAAGAGGATGACTACTTGGCTCCAGCTTTTTTAATAGAGCACTCTTAAAACAGAAAATCTCTAAAAACATACTTGGGGAAAGAACAAGAATATCTTTGAACTACTGTTGTCGCCTTTGTACGTAAATTAGATGCAAAACTTACTGAATTACTGATATAACCTGATGTATATCAACTTAAGAGATTTTTTTTTGTAATTTTTCAATTCAGGGCATTTCAGTCCCTCACAATCTCAGGAGCTTCTTTCAGTAGAGCTTTATCTAAATGAAAATCACCAATAAAGGATAAAGGTTATGAAATTTCACTTTTTATTGCTGAGTTGTTTATTTTTGTCACCAAAGCAGTAGTTTACTTTACGTTCCCATTTGTATTTCAAATCACAAAACCAGTTTTTTTCTCCTCCAAGGCTTTCATGGCTTGTCCACTGTGAAATAGTTCGAACTACTTTTTGTTGCAATGAGCCATTTAATGAGCTCTCAGGTGTTTTATTTTTTTTTTAATTATTATTATTATTTTTTTTTCAGTGCAAATGGACATTGTAGCACCAATGGCAGTTTATGCATGCAAAGACAGTACTGAGGACTATCAGTTGCCTGCTTCAACGTTTCAAATTGTGTCTAATTCTGTTTCCTCAAAAAGATTAACAGATTAACGCTTCACAGCTCTTATTCTCCTATTCTAAGCAACTATAAAAAAAAATTGTAGCTGGACTCTGACTCAGTTTTGCCATTAACACTGTATGTTTTCTACGTAATCATATATATTATGAGAGTTATCGTTTGGTAGTATTCAAAGCCATAATTGGTTGAGCTCTTACTGAATGAGGGCTGAACTCCTAAGAAGGACACAGCACTGTCCGAAAATGCTGAAAGTAAAATTTCACTAAGATACAAAACCTACTGTGACTACAAAGACTTATGAGGGAAAGAGCAAAAAATTACTGGATACAATATACTATGCTACACTGTTTAAATTTTGCTGGGTAGAGTGCTTTGGAATAATTTAAGGAAAAAGTGTTAGTCCACAAATATCCACATAAGTCATTTGGCCACTTCAAAACCAAGTTAGAACATTCTTGTGATACTGTATTTCAAGTGTAAACTTAAATTAAACAATCAAACATTTATGAACATTGTCTTCAAACAAATCCCAAAATATCTCCCTTCTCTCCCCAGAAGAGGTGGCATAAAGAAATACTGTGTACTGAAGCTGTTCATGAGCTGTCAATACTCACGGAGCAGAAGTGAGATGATTGTGAACACTCCGGCTTTCCTTAAAAAGCATCCTGCAAGAGTAGTGAGAAAAGAAACATGATGATTCTGTAGGGACAGACAGAACATGACCAGCTAATTCTCAAGTACCTTTGTATTCTCAGAGAAATCTTTTACTATTGGTTTGTAAAGCAGTTGGTTGGTAGGTTTTATCTGTACTGCTATCAAAATGCAGTTGCTGGCAGCCATAAAAAAACAAATGCTAAATAAAAAAAATGGTTATGTTTATATTCAAAATACTTTGTTCAATGGCCAAGCAGAAGTGTAGTGGAATAATGGAGTACTATGTCCTCCAGCAGGAAAGAAGTCCTGACTTTTCAGACCTCAAAAGCTAGCAGACTATTTCAAATATCAAATAAAGGATTATTTTACACTCTTCTCATTGCACGTCCACAAACTGATCACAGGTATGAGTTTTGTATTTGCTTTTTTTTTTTTTTTTTAAATGCTTTTTTGTTGGTTTTTTTTTTGTTCGTTTGTTTTAATGTAGAAAGAAGTCAGAACACAGACAAGCTTGTGTCTATTAGCCTTCAATATTTTGTACTGGCCATTGTGTACCATTCCTGTGACTTCTGCATTTACTCTCATATTTTACCACAGTCACTGACACAGCTTCATGGAAGGTTAGAGCTGCTATGATAATCTTAACATTTTATGTGGTTTTATTCCCACACGATCGACTCCTGCTCAGTGAAGTGAGAACAATTCCTTCCCTGTACACGTGACTTAAATGCAGCTATAAACAGAGAGTTAACAAAAACTCCTTCCTCTTTGCTTCAGTGAACTAGACACTAGTTTTTCTACATCACTTCATCATGTTATCACTAACAACATGAACAGCTGTCTAAACAAGAGCTTTTCACCACTGAAAACATCCTGTAGAGCTGCAATGGTTATGAAAAATCCAAGTATCCACAGATCTCATGCAATCTGGCAAGAAGACATTAACACAATCTTGCTACATTTCCAATGGCTTATTTTTCAGATTCAGTTTTCACATTTCATTCACCATACCAACCTCCAAATCTGTACAGCACCGTCTATGAAGAACATCAGGAAACAAAAGGAACATTCCCTATTCAATGCTTCAGTGAATTATCCAGCTTCTCCAGAGCATTTCTATTTGTGCCTCCTGCCCACTGCTTTGATTGCTCCTTGATCTTTTTCATTTTGGGGCACATGAGACACCAGTAATTTGCAGTGTTATCCTTAAAGGCTCAAGACAAAGTTTAACTGCCACTGTTACAGAAGTCAAGGATCCAGTACAAATAAAGGCAGCAAGAACGTGCTTAGAAAACAGTTTGTCCATTGGATTTGTATATTTAGCTATAACAACTGATGAGAGAGGTCAGTATGACATTGCCTCTCTGACATGACTTCAACTGTACTGCTTGACCTGTGAGAAATAAGTGTGCTGCAAGACTACTTGCAAGACCATCCCTCAGAAGATGAAACTTTGGCAATTCCAAGAAAGACTTTCTGATCATTTTACTTCCTTTAAGCATGCACATATTTATATTACAGACATCTTTAAAAGGACATGGAATCAGCATGCAATCCATTTACAAACAAATTAGTTACATTATCACAGAATCACCAAGGTTGGAAAAGATCTCTAAGATTATCCAGTCCAGCTGTTCAGCTATCAGCAACATCTCTCACTAAATAATGTCCCTCGGTACAATACCTAAGTGTTTCTTGAACACCTCCAGGGTTAGTGACCCCACTGCCCCCCCAGGCATCCTATTCCAGCGCCTGACCACTCTTTCAGAGAAGCTTTTCCAACATCCAACCTTAACCTGTCCTGGCACAACTTGAGGTCATTCCCTTTAGTCCTATTGCTAGTTATGTGGGAGAAGAGACTGACCCCCACCTCACCACAACCTCCCTTCAGGTAGTAGAGAGCGATAACATCTCCCCTGTATCTTCTTTTCTCCAGACTGAACAATCCCAGTTCTCTCAGCCACTCCCCATAAGTCTTGTGCTCCAGACCACTCGCAGCTCTGTTGCCCTCCTTCTGACACACTCCAGGGCTTCTATGTCTTTCGTGTAGTGAGGGGCCCAAACTGAACACCGTACTCAATGTGTGGCTTCACCAGAGCTGAGTACAGGGGGATGATCTCTTCCCTGTTCCTGCTGGCAACACTATTTGTGATACAAGCCAGGATGCCACTGACCTTCTTGGCCACACTGTTGGCTCATGTCCAGCCATCCCATGTCTGTTTCCTCTACACAGCCTTCCAGCCACTCTGCCCCAAGCCTGTAGCATTGCCTGGGGTTGCTGCGGCCAAAGTGCAGGACTCAGAACTTGGTCTTGTTGAACTTCATAGAATCATAGAATCACAAGGTTGGAAATGAGCTGTAAGATCATCTACTCCAACCGTCTTCTCATTACCACTGCTACCACAAGCACTATCTCGCAGCTCTTCATCCAGACGCCTCTTGAACACTGCCAGGGATGGCAACTCCACCACCTTCCTGGGCAGCCATTCCAGTGCCTGACCACTCTCTGAGAGAAAAAGTTCTTCCTCATGCCTAAACTTCATCCCACTGGCCTCAGCACAGCTATCTAGATCCCTCTGTAGGGCCTTCCTACCCCTTGCCAGATTGACAGTTCCTCCCAACTTGTGTCATCTGCACATTTACTGAAGGTGCACTTAGTCCCCTCATCCAGTTCATCAATAAAGGTACTGACACACCATTCATAACCAGTCACCATTCACCACTACTCACTGAGCCTGGCCATCCAGCCAGTTCTTTACCCAGCAAAGAGGGTACGTGTCCACGCCATAAGCCAACAGCTTCTCCAAAAGAATACTGTAGGAGACAGTGTCAAAGGCTTTGCTAAAGTCTAGGCAGACTACATCAACATTATGTGAAAAGGCTCTGAAGTCCTTAAGGATAAAAAGAATTTCTCTAAATCCATGAATATCTGTAAAACAGTCTCATCGGGTAGAGAATGGAAGTTTTACACATAGAAAAATAATATGAGAAAGAACCACCGTAGTTACGACACACATCAACAGATGAACATGGTGCAGTTTAAGATACCTTACCTCATACTTCTACAATGAGCAATGGGGAACATATGAGGGCTGCTCCGAAACCAATGTTCCTTGTTATACCATGCTGGCTCATGACACTAGAGGCAGATGCCATTGGTACGGCAGTAGAAGCTGAACCGTCCCACCAACATTCTGTTACATGTTGCTGCCATGTGGCAGGTGGCAGCAGAGAAACAGGCTGACAAAATGGTGTCTGATACAGAAGTGTCTATGAAGCAAAGGTGTATCACTGAATTCCTCCATGCAGAAAAAAATGCACCCACTGACATTCAAAGATACTTGTTGAACATTTATGGAGACCAAACAATGGATGTGAGCATGGTGAGGCAGTGGGTGGTGTGTTTCAGCAGTGACAACACCAACATGAAGGACTAGCCACATTCTGGATGGTCATGCCCAGCTGTCACACCACAAAATGAAGAACATCTTGATCAGCCCATCTGCACAAATTGGCTAATAGTAGTGACTGTTGAAAAATACTGCTCTGTAGTTGCAAATTTGTTCCATCAAATAGAGTTATTGTGGTCTTTGCATCTGTTGTACTTTCCATGGAAATGAATAGGAGGCATTACTTTCAGAGCAAACTACTTAATACAGTTGACTTTGAAAATTAAAAATTTTCCTTCATTTTAAGCCCACAAAATTCTATGCTATAGCCCTACCCTGATTAATAAGTATTCTTTATAAAATACATAGTAGGTCATTGTTAACATGACATACCTTCCCCCTACCTGTTTTATATAGCTGCTTCTCACTCAAGGCCAGATATAAAGATTCAAAAATATTAAAACTTCAGCATGAGAATCCCTATCCCAACATCTCAGATGTTCATCCAGCATATGAACTAGAGATGCTGCATTATGAACTATTACTGAATGCTACAAGAAATATTTGCTTTTCCTTTTTCCATGCATAACTGCCCAGAAAGGCAGTGGAAAGGTCATCTGAACATGATCCTGGGCTCTAGCTTGTCCAATCCGAGGAGGAGAGTTGTACAAAATGAGCACCATAAGTCCCTTCTAACCTCAGCCATTCCATGAAAGCAACTTCAATTTTAGAAGGTAAAAGGCATTCTGTGTGGATATACTTATATACATAAGGATATGAACACACACATTATGCAAACACTTATTTTAACCTTATCAGAAGCCATTTAAGAGCTTGTGCACTGGGTGCACACCACACACATCCTTGTTGTTTTTTATTTTTTATTTTTCTTGAGAACTGAAAATAAAAGCAGTCGTTTTGCTTTCCGTGGCATATATGAACACACAGAACATGCAACTTTCTGACAGAAGTACTGGAAGCGATGATACAATGCTTCAGTTCTAACCATTATGCTTAATATGTTTTAACAAGATGGCTGACATTTGTGCTTTGAGACTGGTGCAGTTCAGTCACTGTCTGTGGCAGCCTATTTAGGCAGCAAGATAAAGATTTCAAATAACAGAAAGTACTTTCCTGGAATTAAGATTTTATCATTATGATCAAAGTAGGGAATATCACAGAATCACAGAATTGTAGGGGTTGGAAGGGACCTCCAGAGATCATCGAGTCCAACCCCCTGCCAAAGCAGGTTCCCTACAGCAGGTCACACAGGTAGGCATCCAGGCAGGTCTTGAACATCTCCAGAGAAGGAGACTCCACCACCTCCCTGGGCAGCCTGTTCCAGTGCTCCGTCACCCCCACCGTAAAGAAGTTCTTGAGCACATTCGTGTGGAACTTCCTGTGCTCCAGAACACATACATACATACATACAAAGATTGAAAACTAGAAGTACTACTTCCTTCAGACATCAAGCAGAATCATGAAGGTAATATGCAAATTACATTTAGATGTAAAAAAAATCAATGACCAGTGTTCAAAGCAATCCTTCAATTCAAATACAGCAAAAACAGTATGTAAACACAAAAATTATGGTATCCAAGCAGCACAATTGGTGAATTGAATTAACTCTTGCTGGTGTTAAGGCAGCTCTTGTGTTTTCTGTTGTTTTTGTTTGTTTGGGAGGGGTGACAGTTTATTTGTTTTATTACTGAAACCACTTTTACAGTTGGTTTAAAATCTTATGAAACTCTACAGCACACTTATTCCATGAATAGGAGAGAACCATTTATGGCTTTCAAATTAACAATTCTGACACGCTTCACTGTATTCTGGGATGACCTCACACTATCATCTGATTGCTTCACTACTAACACCACTGATCTCCCTGTATCTTGTCCTGATCTAAACCAGGATTCCACATCTCAACTAAATAAAATCTCCAGAACAGATGACTTCTCACCAGTATATTTATCAGTAAATTTAGCACATAAAGCTAAACTCCTGAGCAGAAATAAAACAGCTGTATGCCATGGAGTGTAAGATTTCGTTTGTTCCTTCCAGTGGTACTTAACAAGCAGCTTATTGCACCCTTATCTTCTACACTGACTATTCTACAAAACATCTAAGTAGTTTTCACAACTCAATGCTGATTTGACTAACCTGCAATTAAAGTATTACTCAGCAAATCTGTTAGCAGTTCTATTATTTAGCTTTGAAAATTAGGTCAAGATTTGAGGGAAGATTGTCTTCTGCAATGTGCTTCAGAAGGAAAGAACATGGCATCTGTGTTTGTTTCTCTTCTTGCGCTTCATAATGCCTGAGAACTTTGTCAAATTTGTATTTGACATTAACTGGTACTGCTCTCATTTCATTTCTATCCCTTTGCATAGTTGTTCTCTCAAGTCAGTATGGATCAAGAGATAGGTATATTTTGAATTGCATCATCATAAAGCATCCCAATAACATACAAGAAATAAGAGCACAACAACTTAAGTGTCTTCTAAAAATCTGATGTTGAAATTCCAACTTATAAAGTTTTTGTAACACTGCTTCATCAGACTGCTTAAAACATACAGGCAACACTGCTTTCTCTATCATTTTACGTCACAGGTAAAGCTTCCCAAACAGTTATTCTTTCTTCTCTCAATATTTCTCCAGAAAAAGGAGCATCAGGGACTACAAACTTCAGCAAATACAGTTTCCAGCAGATGACAAAAGTAAACAGATCTCCAAGGGAAAAAAAAAAAAATCTTTGCAAGACTGGGAGCTAAAAAAAAAAAAAAAAAATAGAAACTTCATTTCTAAAGAAACTCATTCTTTTAAAATATACCAGTTCCATGGACAATTTTGAAGTATTAAAAATACACTTTTGAGTTAAACCCATCACAATAAATAAGGTTCATAAAATAACATCGAAAGGAATAGATATAAAAAGCAGGTATCTTACCTTGCCTGCATCCAGCCTTTAGGCCAAAGTGGTTTCACTTCTGTTTCCATAAAGGTTTTGAGGTAATCTTCAGCAGACTGACTTCTGTTTGGCTCTAGCTCATAGCATCCCAGCTTGATCTTGACAAGATTACACAACAAAGATCTGCAGAAGAGAATACAATGAATATGTTGAACCCAACGTTTCAACAGCTCAGCACAAATAGAATGAGGAACACTGATACTGTACAGCTGCTGTTCATTGACAAGCAATTTTTTCTCCATAGAAACAACTAACTTCAATTAAAAAAAATTAATGATCACACAAGTTGCTATCACAACTGTTCTCCTCCTCTCAGCACACCATATAGCTCATTTCTTCTATCATTTTGTAATTAGTTTTACATCTTTGTTTCCTCATAACTGAAAAATCTTCTCTCACTTTGCTCACAATAATCTTGATCGCATTTAAGACAGATAATGTCTGAAGGCACGTGAAATCTATTCCGCCCTGAATTATTATTTCAACAGAACACTTTCTGACATGGATACTGTCCTTAAAAATATAAAAGTGGACGGAGCTAAGTAACATTGACTCTTCTGAGCCTCATGAAATAAAAATGAGAATTTTAATCTGTTTTTTAAGTATCCCTTCAAGTACCCTGGTTAAATCACAGCACCAGGTCAGCTAGAGCTGTGTTTATATATATGTAAAGCAGCATATATAATACAAAACGTACCCATAAAAATATATAGTATACATAATATATTCCATGAAACTTGCTTCCCTGTTATCTTAACATAATATAGATTAAAAAAAAAAAGATTCAAAGTGAGAAGTTCAACAGCCCCCTTTAATAGTATTTATACCTATTCAAAAATCAATTTAGAACTTGCATAAGCAAGTAAATTAGAGGGATCTGTCTGGTTAAAAGCCTGTTATTCTTCAAATAATCTAATTTTTCAGTAAAAGCTACTCTGGGAAACAGAAAGCAGAATTCAGCCTTTCAGATGAGTGTGTTGTTCTTAAGAGATTACAGAATTTGTGTTCTAACGTGACAGGATGGGTTAAGATTCACACAGTCTGGATGCTGGCTTTCCCAAGCACTGGGAAACTTGCCCAAACAGCACACCCGATTTTGGCTCTCTGTTCTATTGTAGCCCAAGTTTTACCACTCGCTGTGTGACAGCTTTTTGTGACACCCCCAGAATGGTTGAATAAGCAGGTGCAACTCTGCTTATACCTCTATTCTTTGCTTCAAAAAGCCCATGGTTCTGTGTCCAGGACAATTCTCCTGTGTTTGGATAAAGTACATGAGCAAGCAATGAAAAAAGGGTTGGGCACAGGATGATCTTGCCTTTCAAGTTAAAAAAAAAAGCATGTTTACAGTGCAGCATTTTAGCTTGCCTATTTTGCCTCTTAGCATTTCCCCAAATGTTTAAAAAGATGTACTTCTGATCATGATTATTTATTAAACAATGCTATGTAACAACACTCTCTGCCAAGACTTTAACACGAGATCAGGAAAAAATCTTGGTGGAAAATGTAGTTTCTCACCTTACTGTGTCATCCCAATGAAACTTCTTTCTGGGCCCCACAACCCTCTTTCCAGGTTTCTCATCATCATCTTCCTCTGATCCATTTTTCTCTCGTTCATCTTCTGTTTGCAACCTACATTTAAAACAGTTGCTTTCTTTATAAATATACAACATTTAAAATGTTTCATTGAAGAAGCATTGTGTTAGACATTAAGTAAAAAAAGGGATCTATCTTCACACTCTAGCTATACTCTCCCCAAAAGGGCAAACAATTTATCTATCCCCACACCTCACTGCTTCACAATCTTCCAATACAAGTGAAGACGACACACTGTATGGATCCCGCCAAGGATGCTGACTCTAAGTTTAATGTAGTGCTTTCTCCTGGGAAATGCAGAGATGCTGATCAATCTGCTAATGCTTCTCTGAGACTAAATCAGTTAACTGTGCAGGAAACAACTAAAATATAAAAAAACAGAAGAATCATGAATTTGAACACATGCTCCTATTTTCATTAGCCCAGCACATTGGTTATGCCCAGTCTCCTTCTCACAATTCACAATTTCTTTCTCTCAAAATCTATTTCATTCAGTTAATGAAATTTCTTTCTGAAGCCAGGTGATGACATCACTGAAACAATACCATATACTTCGTACAACTCAGCTAGTGCTTAATGCTTTGCTGAGCTCAGAGAATGAAGGACACTGAGGCATGCTGACAGGTAAACTCTAAAATGTGAACATGCAGATCCCAGAAATACTTACTTGGCATTCTTAGCTAGGTTACGGGCCTGACAATCCTCTTGATATTTGCATAACTGTTCAGGCATGACGTTACTGACAGCTAGTTTCAACTTCTGCAGTGGTTCTCTCAAGCGGTCATCCTGCCATAAAAGAAACACCAAATTAGTCCTATCAGATGCAATATAAAAATAACTTAAGATAATTTCTCTGAAATTGTTTCTTTCACACTCCCAATAGGCTATACTGTTGCACAGAACAGGATTCAAGCATCACATAGAAAGTACTGCTGCAGGCAATAGTTGACACTGGAAATACTAATGCATGCATTTGAAATTTCTCATACAATTAATGTAGTCTTGAGACCAGAAACGATGAAAGATAGTCACAAGGAAACAAGTCATGAACATCCCAAAACATTGCAACAATCTCATTTAATAATCCTTCCAAATCAAAATATGGAATAAAACCTCGGGGAAAAAGCAAAATGACTTGACTGATGAACACTTACATTTTTTAAAAAGTATATGATGAATGAAGTCTCCAAAAACTCTGTAGTATAAGAATATCTTCAGTAATGATCAAAATCTATGTATTCAATTGCCTATGTATTAGATTATTACTAGAAGCAATTTTTTTATGAGCCTGAAAGGCAAGGACTATGAATTTAAATTAGTCTCCAGATATTAAGAATTTCAAAAATTAAATTGAAATAAAAATATGTACTTCCTTGCATTTTAAATTCGTTTCCATACCTTGGAACATTCTGGTTGGAAGCAGAGTATATTTAAGGTCCCTTCCAACTCAAACCATTCTATGATTCTATAATCTTCCAACTTTGTGTTCTCAGTCCTGTTTTATATCTTATATCTTAAAGCTTAGTATAGAAATAGCATACGAAATTGATTTCCTACTCAGCAGGTTCTGAATTCTCACATCCTCAGATCCTCTGCAAGATCTAGCTCTGAATCTCACCTAAAGAACCACGTAAAGACCCTTCAGACCATAGAAACCTTTTTTAATTCAAAATAAATACACACTCTTTAAGAGGAAGGAAGCTGCAAATGAAGCAAAGTACTTGTAAGACTTAAAAGCAGCGTACATGCACAAATAATACAGGCTGGTCATCTATAATCCATATACTCATTTTTTTTCCTGACACAAAAATGAACACAACAGTAATTTTTAGTCTGTCATAACCACAGTAATTGTGGTTCTCTAGTTCTCTTGCTCTTTATCTACTCTGTAAAACTATCCAGCTTTCAATATAAAAGCATTTAATTCCCAAAATAGGAAAATCTAAAATACTTAAAATATTTGTCCTTGAAGTAGTGACAAGAGCAGACAAAAAAGCATTCATGCTGATCTAGCAATTGATACAGAATCTTTTCCTTTACTTGAGACAATGGCTGTTGCTCTACCCTGCTGCATTCTATCCTTACTGTTACATATTTGAGTCACACTGGAGCTACTCTCCCCCCCGTTACCTGGACATTGAGGTGTAACTTCTTCAGACGCTTTATCAGTGTGTCCTTATTGCATGGCACAAAAGCCTCAAGGTGAGAGTACACTCCATTGCGGATGGCAGGATTTATCTCCTGTAACTGTAGCTCAATACTGACAAACAAACAAGAGACAGCCAACCAGTGAGGTACTCCAAGATGAAGATGACAACTGAACAAAAACCTAATGAAGCTTTGTATGCATAACATTCTAGCTATGCATACTTCAAATAGCAGCCTGGGATATATTGTCAGATTTGTTAAACGACCTTTTCAGAAAAAAAGTAGTCTTAATGGTAAGAAACCATTCCAAAAAAAGACTTTCAGATGCATACTTCCCCAGCAACATTGAATGCTGCTATTCGAATTTTTTTTACTCCTGCGGTTTCACATCAATATTGGTAATATTTTGGCTGCCGGTCTTCTAGAGATTACTTCTTTTTATTACTTAATATTACTAAAGACATAAAACCCTGTATGTTAAATGCTTAGCTGAAGGATTATAGAATAGGAACAGTCAGCATTTTTCTTCATGAAAGCTAAAGGTGTATTGATTTATGAAGATGTGGGACAGCAAGAAAAAAATGGCAAATTTGTTGAATTTTACACATGAAGTCAAGGACACAGGGCACTACAAAACACTTTACAGTGGAGAAAGACAGACAGATAGTCATGACAGGAATTGTATCATATATAAGTCTCTTTACCTAATCACTAGCTCAGACTGATCTACCTTCATTGACTCTTAAGGGCTTTGTTGGAACAAACTCAACAATACTTCCTCTTCTGTACTTTTCCTTTCACCCCATTTCCAAAAAGGAAAGGTTGTACAGATAAGCACTTACTCCAGCAGAATATTATTCATGTCTTGTGTGAAAAACTTCTTCCTGCCTTCCTCATCAAACATCTTGGCAGCCTGAAAATACAGCAAAAAAGAATATTCAGAAGTTCACAGATGTCATTTTAATCTCAACGTTTGCAGCTTTACTTTTACAGCTATATCATACTCTTATTTTTCAGTGAACAGCATTGCTAGGGAAAAAAATCCACTATTCTTAACTACTTAGAAAAGGTGCAGATTACAATCGTACTCAAATAACTCTTTGTTCTAGTGCACACAATCACTCTATTTAGAATCTGCCTGGATTGCTGATGTTTTTTCAATAACCCTAAAAAAAACACACAAGGAGTGCAGTTTTATTATCTCAGTAGTACTGATGGCTTTAAAAAAAGCAGCACTGCTTGACGCTCCTGCCTGTATGACTTGTCAACACATCACCATCGTCCAAGTATAAAAGGCCTAGTTTCTTCCTCTGTTTATGTACCTTGCCCAGTGACAGTTTTCTAGCCTTTCTTGGATCCATCTCAACCCTTCCATGTGATTTCTACAACGGAACTGTGTATGCTATGAATAAGTCTCATCCCCATTTTCTGGTGCTGTTGAGCATTGTCTCCAACTTTTGACTTGGGGCGTGAAAACAGGAAAATCTTCTCTACTAGCTCTTTAGTATTTTTGTCTGGGAAGGAAGGAAAAAAGCAAGATAACTTGTGTGTGCATTTCCTTTCATTAGAAGTTTTTCCTAGTCTCTCAGGAATGCCTGTGTAGAATTCCTTTATCCTTGTTTCTTTCGCCTTGATTCTTACTGTCCACAAACTATGGCAGCCACAAAAATGCCAACTCAATTCCCTGCACTGTTCAACAAAAACAAAAACAAAAACAAAAACAAAAACAAAAAAAAAAAAAAAAAATCAGTAAAAACTCTCTACTCTTTTCCATTCTAAAGATCTATGGAAGTCAAGAGAAAAAAAAACAAAAAACAACTTGCAATGCTTACTGTCTTGAGACATTCTAGCAATGGGACCTGAGAGTGAATATCTGAAGAAGCTGAAAAAGTACATCCTTACAGAAATTTACGTAAATACGTTATCACCATACTGTCTGACAAATACTGTGGGCAGTCAACATGCTATGTGGCTAGCAGTCTAATGAGAAAAGCTCTAATTTGTCTTTAAAGAATTTTAGTTAGCAATTTCTGACAACACAGGTCCATATTATAAATAAATGCAAGTGTTAACTTGACAAAATTCCTTCATTACTATTAAATACTTACTGTTTTTCCTCTTTGTAAATGACCCACTTGTGTTAGAAAAAATATTTTCTGAGATTGTGAAATCTACATTGCACAGTAAAATAAGAGTCTGTTACTCCATCAGAAACTGTAAAGCAGACAACTGTCTTTCATCGTTTACCATTTCAGTCATGAACATATACTGTAGGCTTTTTAGCTCCTGTAAGGACTGCACTCCGCTCTCTACCTCCTACTGTAAAGTCATCTGCTGAGGGGATGGCACTATCTGTTTTAAGATTACTGAAGCAGTTTCTCTGCTAAAAAACAAGAAAAGTTATAGATGTTTACAAGTGATAAGATACCAACAAGACAAGTTTGAAAGTCTTAGATCCAGTATCTTTAAGAATAATTAACACAAGGTTATTACCTTCTAGTCTATATAAAGTGGCAGGAAAGATGTTTTGACTTTCCAGTCCCGAGAGATCTTAGAACAATTTCATTGTTATGTTATCATACTTCACAGTGCTTCTGGTCTTTGAAAAGGATGAAATCAGCAGTCAAGAAACACTGCTATCAATGTTGGGATTTTTTGTTCCACAGATGGACTATCTTGACAGTTACCATCATAACAGAAAACAGGCATTTTATTACTTCCCTGCTTTGTGTGCAATATTGTCCTCTGCCACAGTAATTCAGAATTATACAATTAGGGAACTAGAAGACATTAATTTACACAAGAAGATCAGGAAGCTTTCATTGTATATAGTCAGCAGCTTCCTAAATCTTTTTACTCTCTTGCCTAGATATATCATAACTCCATTCATGGAACATAGCTTACCTTTCTTTGCATTAAAGAGCACTAAATATGTGAACCTGATAAATGTCTGGAAAAAACTGTAAAGGAGTTCTTTTTTTTTTTTTTTTTTAAACTCCTTTGTCACTGATAACATGTCAGTTGATGGCAATTTGTAGAAGGGAAGGAAGCTGCAGTCTTTAAGTCAATACACAGCCTATTCTTCCCCGAGTCTGCATGTAGTATTGCTCTGCTCAGCCAGCACACAAACACAAGTAGATGACCACAGAATTAACTTTAATTCAGTTTTCTCTTGGAAAACCTCTCTTCCAACTGAATGGGGCTTTTTAATGAAATAGCGTGAAGCTGGGACAGGCAGCTGACACTTCCTTAATTTTGGCCTAACCCAGTTCTACTGCTGCTTTGCTAAAAACTTACTGAAAAATTAACCTGAAAATTTGAAGGCTGACAATCCTCTCACTCACATTATTCATATTTAGCTTTGGACATTTTAAAACAACTAAGAATATTCTTTAACGTTTATATACAGCTAAGATTGAGTAATGATAACTATGACATTTAAGTAACAGCAAAGCAAGCTCTGCTGCTGTCTGTCACTATGTAGAAAACTGCAGTTTAACTACGACTATAAAACTTACTCTTGAGTAAGGAAAAGCTGCACTTTATTCTGAGTAAGGAAAAACTGCACAGGTAAGATCAGAATCTGGACAATCAAATAACAATCTTCTTCTCCACATTCACATAACATCCACAACTGAAACAAGGAGCATATAATACCTTAACAGCTCTGAGCCCTTTCAGTGAGCTGTGGGGATGTTTGTAAGCTGGGAACTTATCGTTTTTGGTTAATATTTTTTGAGACTCCACTGCAACATTTCAGAAAAAAAAACATTCAGTTCCCACCCCTCCACTCCCACCTTTTAAACTGGGAAGTTCACATAATTTGTGTTACAAAGGCAGAATTCCAGACTGAATTAGATTGTAAACTACAACAGTATTTCAAGGCTTCCTCTTTAAAACTGGTGGGGAAGCATAAACTCATAGATATTAATAATTTAAGTAACTAATTCAAGTCAAAATTAACAGTGATATTCCCATTACGGAATAAAACATTACAATTTGTTGAACATGTTAAGATTCAGTAGAAAACCTTGTCTCCACCGTGAAACAAACACCACCTCAACTATTGAGCTGCATCCCCTCTAGGTCCATTTTTATCTGAGTATAAATACAACCACTGACATTAATGCTACATTTTTAGCATTTCAACCAGCATTTCAAGGATGACAACTTAGATCCTAAATATTCTTCCTCCTCCTCTCAGATTCTTGACTGCAAGCCGTCACTACTGAGTTCATACTTACTGTTCGAAGATCTCCAATGCGCTTTTCAAGTAGCATAGGCAGACCTTCTGGGAGGGCAGGCACCTGCTTGGGTGTCATGACCTGAGAGGTGTAGGTTGCATGAGTGACATTTCCATTTTCTCCTGACAGCTCAGATACTGGGCTGCCATCAGAAGTGCCATCAAGCAACTTGTCAAAGTCAATGTCTCCCAACATCTCCAGGGCACTTTCAGTTTCTTGCAGGAGATCACGTTCATTTGTGCTACCAAAAATGGAGAGGACAGGGTCGCTGATCTTAAGATTCAAGTCAGAGATATCATTTCCTGCACTGACAGAGGAAGAAGGAATTTTACTAGGGGTAGAGGTCGCAATAGTCACTGGAGGTTTTGGACTAGATTCCTTCTTCCTCATGGCTTCCTTCTCCTTTTGAAATTTACGGATCATGGCAGCCAGAGAGAGCGAGTCTTTATAAAATTTCTTTTTCTTCTTTTCAGACTTGTGTGAATTTAAGGCCATTACTCTGTAGAGGAAAGAAATATTTCATTAGAATGGCACGTGACTTTGTTAAAGGTAACTAAGGCCTTGAAAAAACTGGAAGTTTAGAACTTTTTAAAAAAATTAGCAGATGGAAGCAAGTGCTTCCATCTTCAGACTCTTCCACCAGTTACCTCAAACTCCTGCTTGTCATATGATTTCACAATCTTCAACTGAAGCTCTGTTTTGTTGTTGTTTTTAACTATGTTACATATACCTCAAGAAAAAGTTCATTTACGCTACACTTCTCATCTACACTTCTCAACTTGAAGTTAGACTTACAGTTAGATTGACACTGCTAGAACACAAACTTGCCTATCAGACTCCAGAACAGTAGCAGGTTACTTAAAGTTTAGGCACACCACGTGTATGTAAAAAATTCATTCCAGTAAGTATTTTTACATGCAGACTCAACATTTACATGCCACTCAAACTGAACGTTTAACCCCCAATCCTTGTCCTTGATTTAAAAAAAAAAAAAAAAAAAAAAAAAACAACCAACAGGTTTTCAATGCCAACTGAATATCTACAATAAGACTACGTTCACTCAAGGACAGTTTTCCAGAAGCCAATTAAAAATCCTATCATCTTAAGGCTATCACCCTTCCATGCTAGCCTCAAAACACAGGAAAGTACACAAAAATTAGTAAGAAATATGTAGAATAATCAAGCTATGTTTACAGTTTCCCAGAATAGAAATCTAGGGATAGGAAGCTATTTTTCATTAGAAGGTAGAAAACAAAGACGTAATTCTTACTATCAGAAAACTCTGGGTAGAAGAATGTTTGTTAATACTATTCACAGATTCAAAATTTCTATATTTTCCATAATTCATTTTTTCTTTGATTTTTTTCCCTCATTCTTATCCCCCAAAATTCTGAAAGTTAGCCTGGAGGATGTTTATGTTAAAAAAAAAAAAAACATCCCAGACCAAAATCTATTAACTATGAGACATGAATTAACAATACAAAATCCTAAACAACTGTGTTAATCTCACTATGGCATGAAAATCTCAGAAACATACTTTGTATACAATTCAACATTTTATTTAAAGGAAGAAACCTACCCCAACTGCTTAGGAACTTTCATTTTCCGAGGCTTCTTCTCCTTTTCCATCCCTTCATCTTTCCGCTTGCGCTTCTTCATTCCACGATCTTCACTTTCTTTTAACTTTGCTATCTACAAAACAAATTTAATACAGGACAAAGATTCTTCCATCAAAAAACATTTTTATAGCAAGAAACATCTAATTTTCTTTACACTTTCCAATTGGGAGCCAGAAAAAAAATATCTTGATGTGTGTGAAGGCCAACAGTACAACTGGATTCACAGCAGCAGTTACTGATAATTCTCCAACACTACTTTTTTTGAGGCACAAGTAGACTGCCACATAGCCTCTCTGTGTAGCAGCCACCTTGGAAGACCAAGTTCTCCATTATTCTGCTATCACAGTCGCACTGCTAAGTACAGTGCAATATGGCATATCTTTCTGGCTATTCAGATCAGTGGTCTCCCCTCCAAACTTGGCCATCCCTAGCTTACTTTCTGAGGCTGACTGGGAAAGCTGAATGGTGGAGGGAAAAGGTGGGGGTGAAAAGCTCTTCATACTGTTCTGTTATGCAGCAATAGTCAAAATACTGCTGCCTTATCAGCACAGCAGTAAGTTACAAATACAAATCATAGCACCATAAGGGCTTGTATGAAAAAAATTTTCAGCACACAATACAGTACGCGTTTTGTGAAACATGCAGGATATACATACAGACGTACACACACCTCTTTTAACACAGCTATTTCTATGTTGTGAATTTATTTTAACAGACATTTTCTTTTAAGTACTATTCTGAGTATCAAGAACATTTCAAATCCTATTTTCTACAGAATTAGAAAAGCAATGTTGAAAAAATTATGTTTTCATCTTAGGGAATAAAATTCTTATAAAATTAAGTAGTTATCTGTCACTTACTTATGATGGATGAACACAGCTTGTAAGCCTGCCTGAACAGGTGATTAGTTTTCCAAGACTGAACAGTCTATGGGCATCCTGACTTATTTCCTAAGTGCTTATGCAACAGCCACAAAAAGAGACTGCAATAAGGCAGTACCGTGTATCACTCTGCTTTCAGTCTCTTCATCTACAGCATTTAAGCATACCAAATCTATTTTGATGCCCACCTCATTCATTGCCCACTGTATAAAAAGCATAATTAATACCACTCACTTTTGGTGGCCTATGCTTTTTGTCCTCTGCAAAGTCATCATCTTCTGAGTCAGATGCCTGGCGGAACTGCAGGGTACCAGTGTTGATATAAAACCCTCCATATTTGGTTGTCAGGGATGCAGGAACCAATTCATCGTACTGGCATGAAAAAAAGAGTTTATCATCATCACTTCAAATGTTTATGTAGCTCATTTACCACTCCCTATACATGAATAACTCTACAGAATTACATAAGTACTGCCTGCTAGCATAAATCAGGATAGTAATACTATAAAAAAGCTCACTGGACAGGGTACAGAATACTAATATCACAGAATCATCTCTGTACTTTCAAAATCACACCTTGATCTCGGAAGAAAAGATTACAACATTAAAACAAGAAACAGCTCTGCTTTCTGAAGGAAGTGAAAACAGGCATGGAGGCCTTTTCTCCCTTTAGAGAGAGTATTTCCAACTTCCTATCTCTGCCAGCATGCTACCTTATGTTAGAAGCTAAAATCTCATGATACATAAACTATACGGACAACTATGCACCACCTGCCTATGAGCAGTTTCACTGTTTACAAGTTGATTTGGTCCATGCAATAGGTAAGCACATTGTGAACTGTTTTTGCCTACAACAGCCTTACATCCATAGCAGCAACATCTCCAATTTAAAACGCATTTTGTAAAAATACTGCCTCTACTGATTTCACATGGTGTCATACTTTCACTGAATATCCTTCAATCTTATCAGAGAACGCACAGTTCAAGCTAACAATGTTTTCTAATAACACTTCCTGTTACTCAAACATTTGTAACCGATCCTTTAGTTATCTGCAAGTGATAATTAAAAAGTTATTTTCAGAGCTCCATGTTTTCAAAAAAAAACAATCTGAACAGCCATCACTCTGCAAAGGAAGAAATCTAAACCATTTCAGAATTTTGCAAAACTGCATATTGTCATACCCAGGAAATAGAACTGAAACAATAGACAAACTTGTTTTTGTAAAACAAACATAAAGAACTTCCTGGATTATACCCTTTGTTTAATGGAAATAGCCACAGCAATGCTCATCTTCTTCCTGATTAGTTTTCATTAATACAGGACTCTGCAGTGCACTTGGCCTGCTCAGACTGTTCCAACAAACTTTCTATTCCTTAACAACTCACAGTACCTGCACAAAGAAACCCTTTTCTTACCAGGTTCTCTGTTCGTTTGCTATAATTGCTGTGACGCCTATTGTGAAAAGTATTTTCAAACATCTGTTAATTTCGGTGACACATTTTGTTAACAACAAATAGTGAAAAATCTAAAGTGCTGAGCTTGATCAACAACAAACAGAAACAATAGCCTGTTTAGAGGCATAAAACCAAAATGCCTAAGTGTTACAAAGTACCAAAAAGATACAATGACATTTAAATGATTGAGAATTGGTTTCTTCCCTTCTGAAGGGAAGGGTGTGAGATTTTGACACATCTTAGAGGTATGTACTCTGGCATAAGAAAAAGTTTACTCTGAGTTACAGCTCTAAACAATAAATGTTTACTAGCAAGACCAAACGATTAAGTAGGACAGTGAAGAGGGAAACAATGTGTTTGCTATTTTGAATAGTGAGCCAGCGGGCCTTTCACTGCTTGCCTGCTAAGAGCTGATACATCCCAGAATTCAACAGGTTGAAAAAATTACCAGGGCAAGTACACACATTTTTAACTGCCATGCCAGTAACTGGAGATCTGAGATCACTCACAGGAAGGGAACACATGCAGGGCAACGCAGTCAGTTACCAGGTTAGTCCATTCCCCCTGCACAGATGTAATATATACTGAACGTATATGTATATATATGTAATATATACCGAAGATACAACTGGAGACAGTTTAAGAACTACAAAATTTGCACCACCAAAAGCATGAAGACAGAAGAGTTATATTCTTAAGAGGAAAACAATTAACAAGCACTTAGAGCAGTAAGTTGCATGGAACAGCCTGAACTTGGAACTTTACATGGATTTGATCTGAGTAAGCAGTTAGAAATTTCACTGAGTCATCATCTTTATCTTCTTGGAATGGAAGGCTTAACATGCAGTACAAGAACACACAAAAAAAAATAAAAGCAGTGACAGGATCTATGAAATACCCTGAGACTGCATGAAAGACTAGTGCAAGAAAACAGGAGACTATTAGACAAATTGAAAGCAAAGTGACTCAGTTATGGACTTGTCATTCACCTTAAAAGTCCAGGACAATCACGCAAAGTGAACTGAAGAGTGGAGGCTGGGTAAAAGCTTCAGAGAAGCCTGATGCTTTTGCATAGGCCCTCAGAAGCAGCTTCATTAAGTACAAGGAGATGAAAGGGAAAGAAAATAAATGATTATCCACAGTAGTTAATAGACAGAACAGGCATTTCCCTTTTAGGCTGACAGGGCGTGAACTGAATTGGTGAGGTTAGGGCTGTATGGGATCAAAACAGAAGTATAGAGTAGTTGCCAAGTTTAGAGGAGAAAGTACACAGTTAAAGCTGAGACTATTATCATAAGAAGTAAAGAACAAGAAAAGGGAAATACTGAGGAGACTTGGCTGCAGAGCAGTAAAGGAAGCCCCAGAGAACAAAGTAACAATTAAAGACAGTCCACAAGTGAGAAAACCATGAGTTATAGCAGGTGATTAGTATGATCGACATGACACACGGCACAAACTCATGAAAACAAATTGACCAGAAAGGCACACTTTATTCAATATAGCGAAGAACAGACTTCCATACAGTCAGCAGCAAACAATGTCAGCAAGATGGGGAAGTACAGCTGACCACTTAAGGCTTCAACAGCTTCCCCCAAGGACTATGAATTTAGTCTGACTTCCAGAGACCTTTCTGACATTCAGATCTCCTTAACCCTTGATGGAATTTCATTTTTCCCCAATAAAATTTGTTTTGTCCTCAGCCTGCTGAACAAGGAATAAATCTAAAACAGAGTTCTACAAACTAAAGCATAACTAGTGTCTCTCATCCTCCAACGTAAGCTCACTGCTGACTAGTGCTCTAATCCAACACAAAACTTGAATAAGATATTATAATACACTGGCAACAGCTGGATTCAGCTTAACTTTGAAGTTCCTCCAGGACACTCAGAAGGCATACACCTCTTGCAACTTCCCAATCTTTCAATGAAGTCTTTTCAAGATTTTGCTTCTCGTTAGCTTTTTCTGCATATCGAATCAGAGCTCCTGTCTAAATCTATTACTGAAGGAAATCTGTTAAACTCCTTTACAATGCTCTAATCTTCCTTATACATTCAAAGACTGAGAATTAGAATAATCAGATACACAAACAAGATTTATGCACTGGTTCCTGTGAACAGAGGGTTGTCTCAGATTATGGAAAGATCCTGCAAAGAAAGACTGAGACTGTCTTAAAAGTACATCAATATAGAAGTTATTCTCAACTACTCTCTTATTTTCTACTATCCTTGAACAACAGTATTGTTACTCTAGATTTGTTTCCATGTGAAAGGTAATCTAAATGTTTTTAAAATAAATTAACTGGTTTTTATTCCTAATTAAGTTAACCAGTTTCTTCTTTATTCTTACACTAAGAACTGCACAATTATACGTACTATAACTAATTTAGTTCTGAAATCCAAACCCACAGTACACATCTTGTCTGCTTCTGTGTTTAGATATTCTGGTTACAATTCTGCTTGTTCTGTTCTTTGCCAGAGAACAAGCTGTATAATAGAAGTACACACATAAAAAGGCTTTTCAGTACTTCTGCATTAACTCCTAGAAATGAGATTTGCTGTAAATGCATTCAAGTGTTTAAAAAAAAAAAAATAAAACCTGAATAGCATTTGTTGTGAAACTAGCTTTATTTTGATAAAAACAAGCAGAGACCATTTTTGTTCCTTGTTCAGCACATTTCTGAGATGGCTCTAGCCAGCTGCAGTGGGAAGCAGGGAGATATTCACCAGGCCAGCAATAATGGAATGACAGAATGGCTTAGGTTGAAAGGAGTTTTCCAGGATTACACAGAAAACTGAGCAGAAAGCTTTGTAATGCTAAAGGATCCACTTCCACAATATATATGTAAGTTTTATGGTGCCTTTTAGTTAAGTAGGTTGATCCGAAAATAATGCCTCCTATTTATTACCATGAAAACAAGAACAGCACTATTCAACAAAATTCTCAACTACAAAACAATATATATATATTTTTTAACATAGGCACCACCATTAGCTATGCATTTTCACCAGTGATGAACAAAGGCCTGCACACCTTGCTCACAAAAATACGCATGGCTTGTCCTGTCTTTCACATTGCTGTCACCACTGCTGAAATGTACCATCCACTGCTTCACTGTGCTCACTTCCACTGTTTGGTCTCCATAAATGTTCAGCAAATATCAATGAACATAAGTTTTTCACACGCAGGAATCCAATGACACACCTTTACTTCATTTGCACTTCCAAGCCAGACACCCTTTGTCCCTCTGCTACCATCTGTCACATGGCAACAAAATGTAACAGAACACCGGCAGGAAGTACCACCAAACTCTCTTCTGACATCATGAGCCAACATAACAAAAAACAGGAGGCATTACTTCCACAGCAGTATTTGCATTTCAGCTTACTTTATGAAGTGTATGATCAGTCATGTGACCTATCTGTCCAACTGCATTCTTTCAGAGATTGTGCTCTGATCCACTCTGAGTAAGTAATAGTAGTAGAATACTGAACTGTATTTTTAATGTAGTGCTTAACCCTTCCAGCTTTCACGTTTCAGAATAATACTACTGAAAAAAAGTTATGCTTTCCTTTTCCATTCATTTAATGTGAACTGCAAACTCTTCATTTATGACACTTCAGACAAATGCTATTATCCAAGACTCTGATTTTGGCTATTTTTAAGCCCCTTTATATTGCAGCAATAACTATGTCTGAATATTTTTGGAAAACACAAGTTCCTGGTACTACTTAAGTATATTTCTCTACTCATGAAGACTAGCTGACCCCAAACTACCCATCTACTCCTCCAGTGGCTCTGACTACTTTGAAAAGTAACTTTGTACTTTCAAAAAAAAAAAAAAAAAAAAAAGATTGAAAGTAGTAAAAAATAGTGCTGCAGTTACTATCAATATTATATATTTCTTGCTACAGAAGTCT